GCTCCAACTAACAGTTCACCCACAAATACTTTCACCCAGTTAACTAATTGACGGATATTTAACATGTGCTTTCTGCATCTGTTGTTGCTATGTTGTTAGTTGGTTGATAGGTTGTTGTGCTGTAATAATTTTACAATTATTATTGTTAATGTTTTTCAAAATAATTCATTTTTGGCTACTTTTTGCCATCCCATCATCAGTAAGTAGTACTACTACTACTACTACTACTACTACTACTACTACTACCACTACCACTACCACTACCACTACCACTACCACTACCACTACTACTACTACTACTACTACTACTACTACTACTACTACTACGCATGCTGCTTCTAATACTACTACTACTACTACTACTACTACTACTACTACTACTACTACGCATGCTGCTTCTAATACTACTACTACTACTACTACTACTACTACTACTACTACTACTACTACTACTACTACTACTACTACTACTACTACTACTACTACTACTACGCATACTACTACTACGCATACTACTACTACGGCAGCTGCTTCTGCTACTACTACTACTACTACTGCTATTACAACTATAACAACAAATACTAACAATAGCAGCAGCAACAATAACAATAGCAATCATTACAATCACAGTAACGTTACAATTGTTAAGAAACAGGAGCATAAAATCGAGGGCAAATTTTTGACTCGCCTGAGATAACGTGCATTCACATCAAATAACTTCACATAACTAAGTAAGTTGGATGCACGTATACTCACACACAAACACACCTACAAAACAATATACATACATACATACATGCATACAAACACACACACACACATTCACACACACATACATACATACATACATACATACATACATACATACATACATACATACATACATACATTCATACATACATACATACATACATACATACATACATACATACATACATACATACATACATACATACATACATACATACATACATCTTACATGCAAATACTCAAACACACAAACTTACATACATATTTAAACTCTTACACACACGTACACACACATATACATATACAAATACCTACATCAGTCTTTTATTAGTTCAGTCAGTCGTTCAAATTATTTTCGATGGTTTGTTTGTTTACTGGATTGTTTGTTTTTATTCATTTCTTCATCCGTTGTTTAGTTTTTTTTTGCATTTTATTCATGTTCTATTTGTTTTAACTTTGATATGCTATTAATAAACTTTACATTTTAACTTATACCTAATTTATAGCCATAAAATTTATCTAATCATCTTCTCTGAAGTTTTTCAAAGAAGCTGAAATACGTAAAGTTAAACACAAAGCAAAATAAAAAAAAGTACAACAACTATTGAAGTTTGACGAGCCTGAATGGGAGCAGTAGAAACAACACTACCTATAAACACTTTATTAATTAGCATCGAAAACATCAACAACAAAAACATCAACATCAACAAAGTTTCTCTACAACATTAACATCATCAACAACAACAACATTAACATCAACATCGTACCCCTACAACAATGTCAGTGACAATCTCAACACGATCCACAAAACCTCTCATCAACATCATTCCCTGACCAAAAATATATTGCAACAACAACAACAACAACATCATCATCAACAACAACAACAACATCAGCAACATCAACAACAACATCAACAACAACAACATTTAGTAACTCTAGCAAAACAACACAAACAACAACGTTTTAATTTTTTACTTCTTACGTAAACCCTCATTCAATGGATCCATCACCTTCCAACCAGCAAGTAAGCAATTGATTGATATTTTAACTATAAGACATAGGCATTGCTATCCAGTATTAATTCATCACGTTGTGATATTATTTACTATGAGTTAAATATAACGTACTTCAACACAATGACAACATGCAACATAACACACAAAAAAACAAACATACGAATACAACAACTGCAACAACAACAACAACAACTCATAATTTATACAACTGCCAGCAGAAACAGTTGACAGTAACAGAGGCAGGCAGGGCGGTGAGGGTCGAAACTGACCTTCCCCACTTGGTCGGTTTGGGAAGTGGGAGATTTAGTACAGCGGTCACACTTCATCCACTTCCTGAAGGTATTGAATTAATCCAATTGTGTGTGCTTGTGCGTGTGTATGTACGTGTGCATGTGTATGTGCTTAAGTATGTGTATGTGTATGTGCGTAAGTATCTGTATGTGTAGATGTGTGTGTGGGTGTGTGCGTGCTTTTCTTTGGTTTACTATTTTCACGTTACTCTGCGTCATTAAATTAAAAAAAATCCAAAACTTAAACGAATAAAAAATTTTAAAGCATCAGGGGCAAACGTGCGAACGAACGAACCAGGCATGTATAATTTTAGAAAATGCTGTTTTTAAACAAAACAAATTAGCAGGAATAAAAAGTTCAGCGTGACGTAAAATTAGGTAAATGAACTTCATTTCTTGATTTGGTTGCATCGAGAGGCAAGGATGATGAAAAAATTCAAAACGAAAAAACATTCAAGCTGGTTGAATTTAATTGTAGGCCCAACACTCACACAGATTAATTGGGCATTTTTGTGGTATATTTTTCATTGAAATGAATGTGACGAAACCAAATGCATAAAATTTATATCAGATGTCTTATCTGGCATGTGCCAGAGCTGAGTGATTGTGATGATGAAGACGACGACGATGAAAATGACGACGATGATGACGACGACGATTATGAGGATGACGATGAGGACGACAAAGATTATGACGAATGTTTATGTACATGACTTTTACTGTTGAAAACGAAGTTAATACCTAGCGATGATAATCGACGATGTCAATTATTCCTCTTACATGAGGCTACATTGAGAATCACAAAGAAAACATCGCAATGCGTTTTTGCGGCTGATATTGGCGGGAAAACGAATACATCAATTATTACGATGTAGATATCTTATTTTTAAACAATTAACAGTAAATCCACCTAATTTCAAATAAAATATGATTAATGAGCAAACATTTTGTCGGCAGATGCATTTTTTCGCACAAAATGTTTTCAAACAAATAGGCATTTATTTTGATTTACACAAATTTTTTTAGACTATTAGATCTGTGGTTTGAATTGTGAAATTGTTGGCATGGCAACTCATAAATCATCAGCCCTTGCATTGTTTTTCGATGGTAAATTAATAAAAGCAAAATAAAAGTTTAATACTAGTAAAAGAGAAGCGAAAGATAGAATAGAATACTTGCAATAACAATAACAACAACAACAACATTAATAATTCTACAACTACTACTACTACAACAATAACAACATCTACTACTAAACTACTATTACTACCACTACTACTGCTACTGCTACTGCTATTACTACTACTAATAATAATAATAATAGCTGCAATGTAACTCCAACAGCATTCATCTGCAATGGATGTTTGTTTTGCAAGATCTAAGAGAATAATAACATTAACGACCAACAAAACATAAAATTATTATTATTTTTGTTTTTGTTGTTGTTGTGTTGTTGTTGTTTTGTTTTCCAAGTGTTTTTAATAAATTGCAGTAAAAGTGGATGAAAGTTGTGCAGAAATATTAGAGAATTATTAACATAATATTAATAATCGAGTGGAAATAATTCGGTATAATCATAAAAATAAGTAAAAAAATCTTGATGCAACAAATTAATTATGTGATAATAGCTAGCTATATACAGCTTCAACGATGTTAATTAATAATTTTTTTAGTTTTTCATGATAAATCATTTGAATTATTGTGAATGAGCTGAAGGGAAGAATTGTTATCATGTGTTTAATATTCATCTTGTTAGCATTATTATTTGCGAAGTTAATGTTATTATTACTTTTTACATTTGCTTTTTGCTTCTTGACGTAAGATGTTTTCATCTGACTTTTAACATTCAAGGTTTTGAGGTCTTTTTTAATGCACATATGTTTACATACGGAGTAATGTTTACGTACGCACGCACGCACGCACACACACACACACACACACACACACACTTCTTTCAGCTCATCACATTATTCATTAACTCAAACGTTCTGAATAATCTTACACAAAAAAATTAAAAAAATTCGACATCTAATTAATAATAATAATAAGTTAAAGCAGAATTTTGTCTACTTATTTAATTAGTCTAATTAGTCCCTCGCCAGCCGCTAAAATTTGGATCATTGAGTGGAATTTTTGAGAGGAAATTTTTTCGAAGTTTAGCGAAATTTTGGAAAACCTTTAGGGTTGCATCATTATGGACGAGCAACTATTAATTATTTGGAAGGTTAAATGTGAAAAAATCTCTTAAAATGAATTTTTAGACTGTTAAACCTGTAACAATTAGTACATCTTTTGGGAAACTTTTGTCTCACTAACGCATATCTTTAAAAACGTTCTAAATTTCATTTTTTAACGAATTAAAAAAAATATTTGATTCGAAACTTAAGTCTTTATTACGTTCAGATAAAAATTGGAAAATTTATGAAAAAATTAACTATAAATAACATTTCCTTTTTGGTATACTCATGTAAACAAATAGACCAACACATATTAATGCTATTTATTTCTATATTTATAACTTATAATTCATCATATATTATATATATATATATATATGCTATATATATATATATATATATATATAGAATCATTATATAACTATTTATAATTCACATAATGAGATAAGTGACATGAATGACAAAATTTTAACATTCACATATCTAAAACATCTGGTGCACTGATGATGATGATGATGATGATGATGACGACATTGATTGTGATGATAACGATTATGACGATAATGACCATGGTGAAAATAATGGTGATGAAGTAAAAACTGGTGATAATGTAGACGACGTCATCATACTGATGACGGTTTTGATGATTATGATGAGAATGATGATGAAACTGATCTCAACACGGTCAAATGCAGAAGCGTGTAATTGTGCCAGTTGTACGTGCCATACAACACCGTCGGCTCATTCATCAATATTCAAATTAATTGACAAACATTTTATTCATCGCTGGTATCGTTTCGATTCCATTCCCACCACCCATCATACTTCATCATATTATCTATCATCATCTTCATCATCATCACCGTTCCAGCTTAGTCATCATTTTCACACGAACAACACCATTGTTGTTGAAACTTCTACCCATATCAAATTTTGTTGATGTCTTCAATGTTAATGTTAGCATTATCATTGTCAGCAATGTTGTTGTCGTGACGGGAGACACGAATTAATGTGACACACAAATTACAAATTACAAAACTTCTTTGTTCTTGGCATTCATCAGGATTAAAAATTAATTAATTAATTAATTAATTAATTAATTAATTAATTAATGTTCTCCCGTCAAATCAGATCCCGTCTGCTCTTCAATTAAATTAGGATGACAAATTATTGATATCATTATTAGAAATATCAGTTATAGTTTTGTATATTTTTTAGTATCATTTATCATTTTGAGGGGTTAAATGTGACTATAACGACCCAAAGTCATCATTCATCATCATCTTCTATTTCTTCTTCTTCTTTTTCTTCTTTTTCTTCATCTTCTTCTTTTTATTATTAATAATATTAATAATAATATTATTATTATTACTATTATTGTTAGTATTCTTTTTCCCATCATCCTCATTATCACCAAAACCGCCAGCATCGTCACCACCATTGCAGGTTCCACCACAGTAGGCAACAGTAACAGTGACATCATCATCCGTGGCCGCCACATGGAGCCACAACATTGCTACTTCGTCAACGAGAATGACGTAGTCGTCCTCTTCCCCATCAGTGACGTCATCAGCGTCGATGGTGCCAAGGTCACCAGACCCACTGTGCTATCCCAAGGTCAGTCACGGGTCACAATTTAATATTTCATATTTTTTTAGTATATTTTTATTTACTCGCTGGTTTGTTGAGTGAAAACATTTTATTTCCGTTATTATTGCCATAGTTGTCTGGAGATTATCACAGTTGTTGTAACAGCCGAGAAAAGTTTATTAACAACGAACAACGTGAACATTACTACTTGCGGTGTTGCTTTCATCATTTCATCTCCCTCATCTCTTCATGATCAATTTCATTTCAACTATTTTTTTAATCCCTGCCATCAAAACTTTGTTATCCTCTTTTACTGTTTATTTATTGTCATAATCTCGTCATAATCATCAGACCTCATTACCACTATAATATTCATTTAATTATATCATTCTATTCCTAACTCACATCATCATTGTTACATCACATCATAATTTTTCTCGTTTTTTCAACCCGATATCTTCATAAATGAACATAGACCTACATATTCCTAATCCTTCATTATTCCAACTCAGTTCTTTGTTGTGCTCCAATGAGTTAACGAACAACAAACAACCACAACATCATTACATCACATATTTTTCCATTCTATGTGTTGTATGTACATGCCGCAAAACATTTTAATTTAATTATTTCACTACTACCTCTACATAATTCACGTTATTCTAAACGTTTGATGCATGGTTGGACATATACGCTTAGAATGATATAGGCAAGTATCATTGTATGCTACACTAGTCAAGTTTCAATAAAAAAAACAAATAATATGGAGTCATATTCACAAATATTATCGGCAAACATCATTAGCATGATCTTCATTCACTTTACAATCATCATCTTATCATCATCTTACATGTCTGTAATTGATTAACTTACGTCATCTTAATTACTCGCTGAGCTATGGAAATAAATTATTAATTTTCGTTTTGCAAATACTTTTAGAAATGTTGCATCTGTTTTTTTTTGTTTGTAGTTCTATGTTTAAGACAAAGAAAAAAATTGATCACTTGAGAATAATAATATTAACTTAAATAATAAAGTAGAGAATATAAACAGCTAAAAAATATAAACAAAATGATGGATGGATGGTTTGGTTGTAGTAAGTGTATTATTATCTAAATATGTACATGTTGGTTTTGCTTATGTCTATTGAATCGTTTGTGCTTTGGTAAATTTAATTAAGCTGCTTTCGTTGTTGATGATGAAGAATATGATTATGATAAAGATTAAGATTAAGATGATGATGAAGACGACTAAGATTAGGATGAAGATGATGATGAAGACGATTAAGACTATGAGGAAGATGATGATGGAAAAGATGATCATCACCTTCATCATCATCATCATCATTAGCATCATTTTCATCATGAAAATGATGCTAATGATGTATGCTGCTGATTGCAATATGTGCATGTGCATACATGATTCGATAGTAAGCTTATGGAATACGATACAATTTTTATAACAACAATTATAATATGTCTTCTTCTTCTTTTTTTTCATCTTCTTCTTTTTTTTCATCTTCTTCTTCTTCTTCCTCATATTATTACAACTTACAATTTTTAAAATAACAATTGTAATTTGTTTCTTCTTAATAGTGTTATTTCATTACTAATATTATCTATTCATTTTTTGCTACAAAAACTGGTAACGTCAAATTTTAAAAATAATTATCATCTGATATACAAGAAGAAATTTAATAATCGGTTTAACAAGAGTGCTATAAATTACAAAACATAACAAAACAACACAACAGCAATGACACCAACAACATCAGCATAACCACACTAACATCAAAATACCACAACACTCAATGACGTTTAAATTTACACAACAGCTGAAACAACAACATCATCATTATCATACTAACAAGACAACAATGTTACTTCTTTAACAACAACAATATCCACTCAGTATATGTTGTTGTTACACACATTATCATATTCTTGTTTTTTTTACCTTTCAACTTTTAACCAATGAAATCTAGTCTAGATTTGTATTTATCATTTGATCAATTCACACACCAATTGATTACATTTTTAATTGTTATATCCCATATTCTGTTACATTGTCATTATTACCAATTTATGAGCTAATCTAATTAAAGGGCGTTTTATTTATATCCGTCACTCTCATTTTTATCACGTTCAAACTCATTTCCAGTTTGAAATTGGAGTTGCCATGCAACCGGTAAATCAATTAACACACATAATAATGTCTGATAACATCTGATCTCAGTTGTTATTCAATATTCAAGTACGCACACTTATAACTATTCTTGAAAGAGTTTTGAAAGCGCTTATTTTCAAATTGGATTTTTGCAAAGACAAACTAAAAATTAAAAACTCAGCGATTATTATTTTATTATTTTTTTTGGTATTTATCTTTAATGATTTATACGGCTGCTTTGGGAAAGCATTTTTTGTTGTTAAATGATAGATTGATGGAGCAGGTTGAAAAGAAGAAAATTGAAATGAATTTTTTAACAACATTGATACATAACTCGTACTTACAATATTGAAAGATAATTGATAGTTCTGTATGTGAATGGAAGTCGATTCCTCCTTCCTTCTAAAAAAATAATTCTAAATAGATAGCAACGCTTTTTTCTTCAGTCTGTGTCGTGTTTCGTACGTGGTGTTTGTTGTGCGTCTGCTCAGGCAGTTGGAGATTTTGCTGTTGATTTGCGGTATATCCGTGGTTGATTGATTCAATGTAGAAGTTAATTACAACTATTTCGCTTGGTTACAATCATGATCGCAGCTGTTTGGCCCAGTTATGCTATGACATTCAGTCTAACCAGAATTTATTTTAGTAGTTTGTAGGTGTGGACTCTTGCTGCCAAATAAGAGTTGCACCATTCAATACTGATTACATGAGCTGAAGTTTGCAGCAGTACGGGAAAGTTGTTGTTGTTTTAGGTAGTTTTTGGATGACTGTGGCATTTTTTTACTACCATTCTGTCATTACAAATATGAATATAACAGTGGGTTTTGTCGACGTTCAAATGAATTCAACCAAATAGGGTCTTAACGCCAGATTTTTTGTTGTATTTTTTGTATTGACTATATATATAAGATTAAAATTTTATAACCTGCCCGTGCAGTGGAATGAGAACAACATGACACGTCGACCAGCTGGTTGCAACTGTTCATTCACTGGCAGCGTTCCACATTACATGCTGATGGTTTATTTCCCTTTAATTACGACAGAAGTGTAGTTTTTTTTTCAAAAGAATTTGGAAACGTGAATATGAACTGTTGCTGTAGTTGTTTGTACGGAAGTCATAATAACTTTAGTGTGTGCGTGCGTGTGTGTGTGCGTGTTAGTACGTGTGCGTGCGTGTGTGCTTTTGTGTATTGTATGTGTGTGTGAGTGATGTTTGGATGTTTGCTCAATGAGTGCAAAAAACATTATAACGGTACCATCTTTGTTTCTAAGTCATCGTTGTCGCCGTTGAAACCATCATCGCCATATTTTTCATATCACTTTCAATCTAATAACATAATGTAATCACAATCTTAACAATTTTAACAACAACAACAACATCAACCATTTTGCATTAGTAATATTACCATTTTATCGGCAGCAGGGTAAACATTCTCACGCACAAATTCTTTACGCTCTATTTTGCTTTTTAAAAGGTTTTGTTTGTTGTGTTTGAATGTTGTTGTTGTTGTTGTTGGCGAATACCATTTACATATTGCCAAGGTCAATGTGAAGGTGAGCATATTTTCACATGTCGATATTTCACCATGAACGTTTTATTACTGATGAAAATGTTGATGATACAATACAACATCACTGGTGTTATTGATGCGTTCGAGCAATTGTTGTTGTGTTGAATGTGTTGTTGGTGTAGTTTGTGCTGTGTGTTGTTGTTTGGGCCTTTTGTATATTTATTTGCTTGATTTCTCTCTTAAATGAATTAAATGAGTTTATTAACAAAATAATTCAGCTACTTTTAACAGCCAGATCAAACAAATAAATACATTATTAAAATAATTATAAATAAAACATTAATTATTTAGTAAATAATTAATTAAACAAATAATTAATTAAGTGAAACAGCAATTTTTTAATCTCTCATCTAACAACCAACCACCCAACAACCAACAAACAAACAACCAACCAACTAATCAGTCAACCAACTACCTAACAACCAACCAACCACACAACAACCAATCAACAAACCAACCAGCCAACCAATCATTCAACCAACCATCCAACCAACCAACCAACCAACCAACCAAAAACCAACCAACCAACCACCAAACAACCAACCAATCAACCAACCAACCACCCACCCATCCAACAAACAACCAGCCAACCAACAATCAAAAACTCAACCAATCACCCAACAACTACCCAAAAACCAATCAGGCTCCATGATCTGCTTCGGACGCAACCAGTACTATCGTTTCAACCATCCGGCCGAAGCCCAGCACTTGAAGAGTGAGTACGAGGACATCTATAACGAGAATTACGCTGTTGTCGCCGTCGGTCGGTTATTTACGTGTTGTTGTTGTGGCTGTTGTTGTTGTGGCTATTGTTGTTGTGGCTGTTGTTGTTGTGGCTGTTGTTGTGGCTGTTGTTGTTGCGGCTGTTGTTGTTGCGGCTGTTGTTGTTGCGGCTGTTGTTGTTGGGGCTGTTGTTGTTGTGGCTGTTGTGGTTGTTGTTGTTGTGGCTGGTGTTGTTGTGGCTGTTGTTGTTGTTGTAGTTGTTGTAGCTGTTGTTGTTGTGGTTGTCTGTTGTCGCAACATTCATACGTTTTATCATTTATTTCATTTTGTTTGTATCTGATGCTTTTTAATTCAATCACCTGCTGTTTTAAAATGAAGAAAATCACTAGCATAAATTGTCGTTAATTCGTTCAGATCGCAAAGAACCACTGTACGCCAATGAACCTGTCCCATCACCAGCAATCACTGGACAACCCTCAACTCCCATCTACGACAACATTAACAATGCAACAACGTGCTATAACAGAAATAGCAAAAACAACAACACAAACAACGACGCTAACAACAACATAAAAAACAACATAAACATCAATAGCAGCATTATAACAAGTGACAAAACTTACGACTATAATAAGAGTGCCTTCCATCTCGACAACGATCGCAACAGTACCAACATATTCGCAAACAACAACCACAACAACAACAAATACACCAACGACAACAAGGCCAACATGAAATTCAGCATAAACAAAAATTATTACGTCAACAAATACAACAACATCAACAGCAATAACCGATCATCAAATAATGATGAATCAAGTAAACGCGTTGCCTCCTACAAAAACAGAATTCAATACAACAGCAAAAACAAGCAGGACATCAGCAGCAGTTACAACTTTAGTGATATTGAGAACGCGTTTTCGTTGGAGTACTTGCAGTCGTTCATAAATGATCACTTGCCGCTCGAACGCTGGAACGACAACTACACTAACTTCAGCCACAACAACCACAACAACAACATTTCAAACTCATTAAACAACCGCAGCAGCAACAACAACAACGTCAACAACACCAGTGGCAACAATAACACCAGTATGTTTAGCGCTGCAGTTACAAACGCAAATACATTACCGACAAGCTTCAACTCAAATTGTTACACGATAAACCAGGGCAAGAAGGCAAATGAGTGTGACGTTGTAACAAACCTTCTCCATGAAGATCAAACTCCAACCAACGCTGCCAATAGTACCTGTGACAAATTCAACGAAAGGTTTGATCTGAACAACTGGTCTGGATACGACAACGTCCTCGAACTTAAAAAGAACATTGAAGCTCTAGAACAATCTAAACATAACAAGGAGTACTCAACAGTGATGACAAAAACAAGCTGGATTACAGCTACGGTGATGGTAACAACAACAACAACAGCAGCAGCAACAACAACAACAACAACACTATCATCCTCATCATCGACATCATCTACACCATCAATGAACACAATAATGTCCGTTTCATTGTTAGCACCATCACCACCACTCATAACAAAAGCACCAACTTCACCAGCTTCAACGACGGCTACCACATCTCTGCAGTTCTTCTTATCGGACAGTTCCATTCGTTACGTGTCTTCTCCGTCAGATGAACCACATCACATCGAACCAAATTTGCATCTTCCCCTGAATTTCAACAAGGATTCACCAACACCATCTCACACCGACCCCATGCGTTCGAACGTCGAGTCTGCACACAGAACAACTGCAAAGGCATCCGACGCAGCTAATGCATCAAATACAACTGGCACCACTGCTACTAAAACGACAAAAAGAATTGTTGCTCTGGATGGTTGTTCCCCTAAAACATCACCGCTATCGTCAACTATGACAGTAGCAGCTGTAGCCACAATAACAGTAACAGCGACAACTACAACGGCAACAGCAACAACAGCAGCAGCAGCAACAACATTAACTAATACTTTAAAGCTTCCTAATCCAACGACAACCGTTGCAACAATCACAGCGCAGGCTTCTACAGTTTCAACCGCAATTATTTTGGCCACAGTTTCAACTTCCTCTCCCACCAAAACCTCCACCACCACAACAACAACAACGAGCATCAGCATAAAATGCAAAAACAACAATCACATCGAAAATATAAGCACCAGTATTGACAGCAGCAGCAACACCATCAACCAGAGCAACAACAGCAGCACAACGACATTGGACGACAGCGATTCAACGTCGTCAGTTGTTGTTTCGTCGAAAGAGAAGAGAAAAGTGACAATCAGAAAACAGAAAACGAAACCTTCCGACGCCAAGAAGAATGTTACTTTCGATCTAACGATGCAGAGCTCCTCTGAAGACAACAAACACAAGCCGCCCACTGGAAAGTTCAGTTACAGCAAAGCAAGAAACACAACTGACAAGAACGATTCTCCTAGTTGTAAAACAACAAACAACAAAAATAAATTCTTCTGGTCCACGAAGAAAATTAGAGAAAAATTAAAAAATAAAAATTCCGAAGAAGATTGCAGTAGTTGCGAGAGTTGTGATGATGTGCGTCCAACAAATGCAGCAACAAAAACAACGGTTACCGTAATAAGCAATGCCTACAACCCCCTTCCCCCCACTCAACAAAGAACTTCTTTTTTTCGATCCTTCATTCGTTCTAGAAGTTCTTCCCCTGTCAAAAAGAATGTTAACGCCAACAGCGGCATCACAACAACTGCAACCACTGCGTCACCAACAATTGCAGCAACAAACACAACTTCCATTAACCTCACTTGTATTAGCGGTGGCAATGAAAAAAATAATGCTGCACATAACACTGGCAACAATGTGAACAATTGCAGCAAAGTTCAGCGCGTCATAAGGCTTGAACGTACAGAGGCCGCACGAAGGCTGAGTGAGCCATTGAAAACGAGTTTCAAGACCTCTCTACCGTCAGCACTGATCAACTCGTCGTCGTCACTTCAGTCAACATTTTGTTCATCACCTTCATCATCTTTTCCCACGTCATCCTTGTCATTAGCAACGGCTTCTGGGACAGCAAACAACTGCCATCCAACTGACCACAGAGCTACGGATGCAGCAATCAAAAACGACTATAACAAAAATAATAATAACAGAAGCAAGGTAACAACGCTCAACAGTACAAGTTCAATTTCTCTGTTGGATGCAATTTTAGGGCACACAAGACGAAAAAATTCGAACGCAGATGATAGCAACCGCATCCTAACACCATCTCCAATCTCCAGCTCGAGCAACTCAATCAAAATGAATGAGGAAAAGAAAATGGTTGGTGACCAGTCACTGAACAGCAGTCGATGTAGAATCAATTTAAAAACCATCAAACCCGATGATTATCACGGTGAGAAGGTCTTCAGCAAAGACACCGTGACGCAGAGGGTCCTCTTAACTTCCCCACCCGACAACAACAGCAGCAGCAGCAACAACAACAACATGGCTTCCATCGACAAAAGCATCCATGACAATGGAATCGCTCCAAGCACCAGTAACCATGGTAACAAAAATAGTTCTTATGACGTTAGAGAGCCACCGATATACGACGCCGTCTACGAAAGCTTCAGGTTCGCTGAGAGCAACACAAGCGGCAGCAGTACCAATAGCCACAATAACACCAATAACAACATCATTAACAACAACAATAATAATAATAACTGCAGAAATGAAGGGGTAGATGCGAAATATTTGCGTGGTGGTGATAGACAGGAAATATTATCGAATGATCGGTTGGAATTTGAAGATAAGGAAAAAATGGTGAAGCATGTATCAGGCAGATCCACCATAACGTCATTCACATCATCGGCAAGTATTGAGAGCAACAGCAACAACAAAAACAACAACAATAATAATAACAACAATAACAACAACAGCAATAACAACAATAACAACAACAGCAATAACAACAATAACAACAACAACAATTACAGTTATAACAAAATTTTCAAAGAAAACGAAGATGAGGATGTTGATAAAGATACTTTAACAAGTTCAACCACGTCATTCCAAAGTGTTACTTCTCCCGCCAATAGCGCTACTACCACTGCTACTACCACTGCTACTGCCACTACCACCAAAAATACGACAAACACTGCAAACGCTGCGATTGAAACTACAACAACATCCAATGTGATTATTGCGTTGGATGATGGTGATAATAATAATAGTGAAAATAGAAATATTTGTAAAAAGGATGTAGATGAATATAGCGGCAGAGTCACATCGATAGCCAGTATTACATTTTCAAATGCTGACAGCAAGGGAGTTTCTGGTCGAAAAATTATTTTGAAAAATAAAATGAACGATGATGACGAAGATGATGATGGCAGACGTAATAAGGAGGCTGATGATTTTCACAGTAAACTGGATCAGAATGAAAAAAATTTGAAAAATGTTTCACAAATTTCAAAAATGGATTGCGATGAGGAAAAAGATGAGGTTGATGATGGCGATGATGAAGGTCTCACTGCTGCTGTTAGCATTTTTTTTTATTTGATTACTCAATCCATTGTCACTCATTTATTTTTCTAAATTAATTAATTTATCTACCTAAAATTATTCATTAACTCGATATTCAATCATTTTTTCTCCAGTTCAATCTTCCTTCGCTCGCCCAATCAGCATCGTTAACATCGGAACGAGAAGATGATGCAAATTTGCAGCAGCTTATCATGACGAGAAGGATGGTGATGCAGAAGATAAAGATGCTGAGGCTGAAGATAAGTGAGATCGAGAAGAAGGAGCAGAATATTGAATCACTGGTTGGTCATTAAGTGGTATATCTATGTTATCCTCTTGCTTCTGTTTATAAATGATAACACTGTTTCGTTAAAATATAACAATTACAAAATCATTTTGAAAAATCTTTCTGCGTTTTCGAGTCTAAATCATTTATTTATTCGGATCAAAATGCTAACGTACTGATTTATCACTAATAAGAACATAAGTTCCCAATTATTATTGGCACATAACTTGCACGCTTATATAAACTATAAATGTATTTGCACACACATACACACACACACACACACACACACACACACATATTTTAACATAATTTATATTTTGTTAATTATTTACATTTGCATGTATATGTGTTCCCATTTATTTCGAAAGATTTCATGTGAGGAATTGAACCCTGATGCTTTACAGAAGAAGCACCTAAGTGATGTGAGTGATGTAAGGAGTGATGTAAGAAGCGTGAGTGATGTGAGTGATATGAGTGAAGTGAGGAGTGTAGATGGTGTAAGTGATGTAAGTCTGCCTGTAGTTCATAAGTACTTGGGACCTTACATAGTAGGCTGCAGCGTATTTTTATTAATAATAAAATAATAATAATCGTACTGCTGCTACCACTACCACTACTGCCACTACTACTGCTACTGTTATAAATGATAGTAGAACTAACAACAATAATAATATATGCAGTTAATGAAATAAATTGTAATTAATTAAATTAATTATATTAAAAACGTATTTATTCTATAAAATGACAGCAAGACGTGAAGGATTTTTTCGAGACGGCCACCAGCGCTCTGACGAGTTTAGACGCCGAGGGGAAACAAGTTGAATCTCAGTTTATTGAGGTGATAACTAGTTGATTACCATCACACCTTGCATGGATGTCATCATTGAATATCATGCGAATTCGAATTACAAACAATTTTAATTTTAGCATTAAATTAACGAACTTAAAAATATTCCGACCAGGCGAATAAGTTCTTGGACGTCATCAATAAAACTATCAATGACATTGAGTTTAATAAACAAAAAACCAACAACAACAGCAACAACAACAACAACAACATCAAGAATGTTGACGTTGAAAGTCTCAAAACAGCAACAACAACAACAATCAACAACATTTTTACAAATGTTGCCGTCAACAACAACAGCAATAACAAAATCTCTACTCCAGATTACTACAATATTATAAACAATCCCAACTTCGGTTAATTCCCATTATTACTATACATCAAATAAATGTTGCTATCTTTTCATCAACATTTGGTTTAGCTCATATATAGCCTATATATATATATATATATATATATATATATTAATATATATATATATATATTATGGTAATTAATTCCATCATCGTCATTATCATTACCATCATCGTCTTTGTTATCATCATCATCGCCCTCATCACCATCATCATCATCATCATCGTTACAGTTGTACGACGAAGCATAGACCAGCAGCAAAAGGTCAATGTCAGTTCAGGGTCATCGGACAATTCAAGTGCATTCGGGTCGTTCACATCCGTGGTTGACAACACAAATAACAATTATAATAATAATAATAATAATAATAATAATAATAATAATAATAATAATAACAGTAATAATAATAATTTGATTGTTAATAATAAGGATAATAACAATATGGTTTTACAACATTTGAATCACTTCTCGAGAATTTCGGTTAATTTTCTCATGAAATTATTAATTCATGTATCTAATTAATTAATTACATTACATTACATTATATTGAATTTAGTTTTTATTTCCATATTGTATTTACCGCATCTTACTTTATCATTGTTTAATGCATTAAATTCTTGAATTTAGGTAATAAAAAAAAACTTTATTCCTCATTTGCACTTACATGTACAGACGTGCAGACCGCTGACCCGGTACTTTCCAGTCACAGATTCGAATTTCGATCTTCGCCAGTACATCGAGATGTCGGGTCATAATCTGGACATAAACAGAGATGTCCAGGTTGAATCTTTTAGGTATAATAAGTGTGATATTATACATTATTATTATTTTAAATTGTGTTGTGTTCGACAAGATTTGAAGTCGAGTTATTTATTTTCAAATTGAGCCATCCAAAATGCAATCCTCATTTAGATGTTCGGGCTATCTACAGAAAATGGGACGGAAATGGAAAAAATGGAAACGTAGATGGTTTGTGTTTGATCGCTGCAAGCGCAACCTCTCCTGCTACACATCGGAGTTTGACCTTCAATCGACCACGCGCACTGCACCGGCGCCTACATCCGCCTACTACTTCCAAGCCATTCGCGACGTCTTCGCCGACCACCTCCACATGGTCAAGAGTCCCTACCCTGACTACACATTCTGCGTCAAACTGACCGACAGAGGACTCTTCCTTATGGCAAACAGCTGTGACGTCATGAGAATATGGATTGACGTCATTTTCACCGGAGCTGAAGGATTTCAGGAGTGAGCAGTTCAGTTAGATTGCTGGATGAACTACTTATTGGTCTTTGTACAATTTTTCACATGACATTTTTGTCCGTCTTAAAAACAATTTTTTCATATTTGAAATTTTATTCATCGTTTTATTTTGTAGTTTGTTAATACCACTTGAAATTAAAAAAAAAAATTATTATGATGATGACCGAAACTCTATGCAGATTGTGTTAATGTATATATTTGTTTCTACGTTTCATACGAGCTCTGTCATTTTACCTTAAATTTTCATTTGTTGCTATTGAGAATGAATGAATATGTTCGTTTGTTCATGGAAAGGATTTGTAGGAATTTTAACAAAAATTTGAACTGTCATGATTGTTGTTGTTGTTGTTGTTTTTGTGCCTGGTCGGATTTTAATGTACGTTTTGAAATACTCATCATCGCCATCATCGCCGTCTTCATTGGCATCACTCTTTTTCTCACTCATCGTAATCGTTGTTATCATCTTTGTCACCTTTTTTTTCATACTCAACGTTATCAATATTTCTAATTTCATGTATTTTAAAGAGAATAAATTGCTGTTACTAACTGAAAAATTTTCTTTCCAAACGGAAGCACGTTTCAACTGGGGAATGGTGATATCAAAATACAATGATTATGATGACAATGACGATGATAATAATGATAACAAGATGACAAAATTGAGTGAATGTTGACGACGACGACGATGATGATGACGGTGATGAAGAACAAGATGATGGTAGACCACATAAAGTTGAAAGCAGATGTGCAGATTTGTGTCTACAAAGGATGCATGATGATGATGATGACGATGAAGACGACGATGAGGATAATAGCAATAAAAATAATGATAATAACAATAGTGATGAGGATAAAGGATGTTGATAACGATAATAATGAGCTGCAACAGTTACATTAGAGCTAAAAATGAAGTTAATAATATAGAGTATAATGTTGATGATGACAATTAAAAGTGTTAACTAAGTAAGTATAGATGATGATTTGACGATGAGGATAATAGATATGATAAGTACATACAAACAGCGTTGATGATGAGGATGGCGAGATGATGTCGTTACTCAGTTACGTACACACACATAGCTGCATAGACATACGCTCGCTCGTTAGTCATCACTTCGTTATCATATCACCACGGCCATCAATCATAATCATCTTCACCTTACCAACTATCGTCATTTTGTTTCATATATCATCATCAGACTATCAACATCAACATTATTATTATTATTATTACTACTCGTTTTCACCTCTTCATCATCACCGTCTTCTCTCTCATCAGAATTTTTCAAAAGTACGGTACACAAAAATATCACTTTTTAATAACTTTTTTATTCATCAGAATGTAACATCAATGAAATATTGTGTTTTTTTTTCAGAATCAAACACTTCCATGATTTGCAGCTTGTTTTGATGATAATAAAAACGAGTTGCATCTAGCAATGAACGTGAACAAACTTTTCCACCAATACTTCCAATACTGCTCATCTTGTCGTTAACTCTAAGAACTGTAAATGATAATAAAGTAGTAATACTGGTGACGATTTACAAACTGCTAATCAAAGATAAACCTTCACATTGTTAAGTTATAGTTTTTATGTTTTTTCTATACTATAACTTTCTCACTCTCACTTTCTTTCTCTTTTTTCTTTCTTTCCCAACATTTAAACTTTCCCCAGCCTGACTTTGTTGATGGCTGTGACGGTTGCGCCTAGTTGTCAAACAATGTTTCAGGATCTGCTGGGTAGGTAATCAACTTTGGGATCAATCTCATCAAAATAATAGATGTTATTAAGTATGTTAACGGAATTAACCCAAGAATATGAGTTTTTGAGCGCCACATCCAAATACGTGCTAAACAGTTTGGATGGGTATATATTATACAGATTTATTCCGATTAATTCATCATGTTATGTCATGTTTTGTCACTTTATCTAAATCTCTCATTTTCAAATTTAACATTTGTCTACTGCTATTTGTTAATAGTAGAAATTGAAATTACAAAAAGTAGCTCAGAATACTGCAAATACTAAAATAACATTAATATTAATTACTGCTGCTACTACCTAGCGCTCCGATGGTTACTCATTCATCGCGACTGGTGATCGATCGATGTGAAATCTTTCTCATCAGCTAACACATGTTTGTCAGCATCATTCGTGTCTATCTTTGCTATTATATTTATAAGTTTTCTTCATTATTCTTATTATTTTTATTATTATATGATATTTTTATACATTATAACTTTATTTCTTGTTGTAAGACTTGACAGTTTTTGTATTATCATTGTTCTAATTAACAGTTTCTAATTCTACTTTATATTATTCTTATTATTACAATTGCAATTTTATTGCTATTATTTAGTTATCAATTTGTTATTATTATTATTATTTGCAGCTGAATAAATTTGCCCACTTTTGCATATATACGTACATAGTTACATCATATGCAGCGTGTGTGCGCGTGTGTGTGTGTGTATGTGTGGGTAGCGTGTGTGTGTGCGTACTGTACACGTGTGTTTGTGCGTGCACACAATATCGGCAATCATTTTTAAATCAAACCATTGCTGTGCATGACAAGGTACTTACTGCTCACAATTAACCAGAGTTACTTGTTTTTTAAATGATATTTTACTTCACTTTATAACGAATATTATTCGTTGATTTCAGGAAATTTTTATTTGAATAGTTTTCAAAAGCGCTCTGGTTTCGTCTACATTTCGCAAGTGCAGGATATTATACCGAATCTGAATCTACCACCACAACCACCAAGAAGAAGAAGAAGCTTTCAATCCAGTAACATCGGCTTCAAAACAACTTCATCGAGATATCTCATTAGTTTACGTGAGTCTTTAGAGTTGATTGTTGGCTTTTAAAATTACAATCACGTTATTGTTGGAAGTAACGCTGCTGGCCACAAGTTGATGACGTGTCTGTTTCTTAATTCACACTTTAAGTTTCGATACGTTATTTCGATAATTGTGTAACAATTTTGTTGGTGAATTATTTTGAATTTAAAGCATCTATGGCAACTCAATGGCAGATTAATTTTAATATTTAATAATAATAATTTTACATCGTTAAAGCTAACACAGAGTGCCAAACAACCACTTTCACTGTCATCTTGATTTTTATCCGCAATCCTGGGTTGGTCAATGTTTTTTAATTAAAAAAATTCTTTTTAAAAATTATTCATTTAAAAACTTAGAAAAATTTGCTTGATTTCTTTTTTAACAATTTTTAATTTAAAAATAATTAATTTAAAATACTAATTTAATGAATGATCGTCCAATGTTGTAATAAAAATATTGCACTGCAATACCAACCCATATAATGATATTTAAGGCATGCATTTGACTTTGCATCAAGTAATGATAACGTAACACAATGTAAAATAAGCGGACTGAAGACCAAAAGTTCATTGTAATATCAAAAAATATTTAAAATAAAACGTATAATAATAACTTTAACTACAAAACTAATCCGAATTAATGAAAAAAATCTGGACAAAAGAATTAAAAATGAAGAAGATTCTGATAGCAGTGGTCCTAATCTGCCTGGTTATCCTCCTCCTTCCCACGCACTGCCCCACCGAAGATGGTTCCTGGCTACCAGCGTTCCTTCATTTGGGCAGCCACCAGAAAGCCCTGGCCGCTTTCCTACTAGGTAATTTTTTATTTTTCTAGATTTTTAATTTTTTTGGATTTTTTTTTCTGTATTTCAAAAATGTATTAACACACACATTGTACCTTTTTTCTTCATTCATTTTTAGGTATAATAACAATGGGCCTGATAACACTTTGGTGACAGTAGTATAAACGGTCCTTTCAAAACGGATAGATTGGAAAAGGAGAATAATAAGTAAATGGCTGATTTCTAAGAAAATGAATGAATATATGAACGAATGGATAAATAAATGAGCAGACAGATAAATGGAAACCTTTTGATCCCTTGTGATGTTACGGTTATAAAAAATTGAGTAATTGAAAACAGCATACTACTCTTGAGAGAAACTATTCCAAAGTTATGCGATGGTCTTACGATGGATTCATCGGGCGAATCCATAGCATCTTATTTGTTGTTTTGAATAAATAAGATGTGCTGTTGTAAATAGCGGTTTCATATTTTTCATGCTATATTCTTTTTATTATATTTCAAATTTTATTCAATGTGGCTGTGAATTTAGAATGTAGTTCAAAGTTTCATAATTGCCTTTTAGTTTTTGTAGCTTTTTCGTTTTTTTATTGAAAAAATATTTTTATTCATGTTTTTGTGATTTATTGAAAATTGTAAAACTAAAATCTTTTACGGCTGGATGAAAAGTGGCATGGGGAATAGCAATTGACCTGAACAATTTCAAATCGTGTTTTTTATCTTCCCGGCTCAGCCGATTGCTTGAATGAAAATAATGTTGACACCAGGGTTGTCATTCCTTCCTTGGTATGTAGGTAGGGCTTGTCTTGTCTTTAACCAAGAATGGCAGCATCAGGAACATGTTTTCTCCATCAGTTCATACTTTCTCCAGTTTACATCATGAACAGGTTGGCTATATCGAGTATTTAATATGAAAGTAGGTAGGGTACAACGTAGAAACCTGTTATAAAGTAGCTAGATAAACAGATGTTTGAGTTTTAATTATGCAGCAACGACCAAAGTATATCAAGGCAACTGAGTCGTACGCCCGTTTTTGCTGAAAAATCAATACCAACATTAAAAAGTATTAAAGCTGTGCTATATTTAAAAATATTTATTTTATATCAATTAGATTAGGTGCTTTTCTGCATATAACCAAATTATTGAATGAATGGGATAAAGATATATGCAAATATGCATATAAATAAACTTATTAACTAGAAGATGTTAGCCTTATTTTTGGGTGGAATTAGAATTTTTTGATGAATAGTGCTGGTGCATCTCCACTTGTTGCCATGGTTACGTTTATGTTCAAAAAGTTAACAATAGTTCTGAAATTTTTGGAATGGATGCTTGTTGATTGATAGCAACTAAAATAATCGTCATAATTGCTGTTCGTTAAATGGAAGAAAGTTTATCAAAAAAGACTATGTTTAATTTTATACAAAATAAAGACAACATAGATAGCTTTTTTATTTTATTTATTATTTTATTATTTAATTAAATTTTAATTTAATTAGCATGTGTATTCTAAATTAGAATAATACTATTATTTGATTATTTGCGACGTTGCTAACCACAATCAGCTAAGCTAAACAAGGAAACCAATTAATGTCGTTATGTGCTATTTTATTGTTTTTTGAATAAATGAAACTTTTACTAATTTTTTTTATTTAGTAGAAAAAAAATAAAATTTAATTTCGTTGTTATCCATTGGTCCAGTAAAAATAAAATTATAATATATCTAACAATCGTTTTTCGTTTATAAAATTTTAAATTAAATTCCAGTGAAATAACAATCGATAAGATGCCTTCAACAGATAATAATAATAATATTAATGTTAATGATAATAATAATAGTAATAACATTTGCATTATAAAAAATGGTACCTCTCCTCAATTGAAGATGAAATCACAAATTGTCAAGAACTTCAAACTTGATTTTGATTTGCCTGTTCAAAATGTAAAAAAATTTAACTTTCTATAGAGATAAGTTTTATAAATTAAAATAAGAAACTTTAAAAAATTCCATTTTAAATTTTTATTGTGTATTAAATTAAATTGATACAAATGACAGCATTTAATCATATTATTTTATTTTAAATTTCCAAGGTTTATACATTTGAAGAAATATTAGATTTGATGACTAATGATCATTCAGTAAGTTTCTACTATCTATGATTGTAAAGTAAATAATTAATAAATAATGATAGTTGAAGCTTATTTGTTTAACAAAACAATTTTCATAGGGAACACTTTACGAAAGACAATTGTATACAATTCATAAAACTTTGAAATGTTATTCTAAAGGATTTGTTAGTACATCTTGCCTTTGTCACCTTCACACACTCATACTCAAATACACACACGTCTATGTAATATATACATGTATATGTATGTATTTACAAACAAATATACATATATAGTATAATGAATATTTTCAATTGAATAATTCATAGTACTTGAAAGACTTAACCGTTCTATTTAAAATCGTAAATGAGTGCAACAACAAACTGCACCACTACCCACAATTCATGGAAGCCTTGGCCGAAATCATAAACATTTGTCGTTTGCCCTTTCTCATGACCTTGACCTCCGATGAACTGACCTTCAAAAAAATTGCTATTGAGTGCATAGAACAACTTGGTCAGTTTTCAAAAGCGGTTTTACAGATCGATAGTTTGTGCATTTTATGTTTGTTTTGATTGGTTCTAAGTACTCAGTGAGAGGTTTATAATTTTTTTCTCTCAATCAAATGGCTTTTGTAGTTCAGTTAAATTGGTTATTATCGTTAGTATGGATTTTGCATGGTAATCGAATTGGGCTCATTGAAATTTTACTATTTATGGACGAATATGTTACTGAAAGGCTACTTGATGAGATTTCATGACGACCACTTCATCTCACACATCTGCTTCTCGTTGAACGGGCTCTACAACTCATCCAATGCCAAAGAACCACCTTTCAACAGTATTTAAACATATTTGATCACCTTTTAATAAACTTTTCCATGACAATATCGTTTATTTACAATTAAAATAATTGTCTGGATGTTGTAAAATAATTTTTCCAGTAGAAGGAGTGAAGCAGACAACAGAACGCTACAACAGGATGCTGATGGATGAGAGTGATCTGGCTGAATCAGTTGCCAAGGTTTCGTAAATTGTTTTAACCATTTGTTTGGCTGTGAAGTAGGTAGGTAGGTTGGTTGGCCGGTTGTTTGGTTGGTCGGTTAGTCCCTCAGTCGGTCAGTGGTCGATTGGTTTATTAGTTGTTTGTTTGATCAGCTGTTTGATTGATGGAAGGGTCAGTTTTCAGCAACACTTTACTTATGAATGATATGAAAATAACTTCTTTTCGATGGATGAACAGTTTATGTTGAACATGAGAGAGAATGATGACCTCATCTTGGCTGTCCTTACGCTCACCAACTCCATCTCCCAGTCAGGTTGGCATCTCTACTTTAATTTCAAAAAATTTTTTATTTTAGACGATTCTATTTATTTATTTATTTACTGCTATTTCTGTTATCTTTTATTCAAAATATTGTTTCAACATTTTATTATTATCATTTATTTTTTGTTACTAATGTTTTCATTTTATTCATTTTAAATTGTACTACTTGAAATCAAGTAAATAAATATTAAACGACAGAATGTAACAGCCTCAAAATGTTGCAATCTGACGTCATTCCCATTCTGTGCAACTTCTTCAAAACAGCTCTTGAAAATCCCAGCAGGAAGAAATCTCGAATTGTCTTCTTGAGTGTTGGAGTTCTCTTGAACTTGGCAGAGTTTGGACCATCAGCCATTATGTCCCAACAGTTCATGAACACCCAATGCCTTTCGTTAGTCCTATTCAATTAAAAAAGGTCATAAGGTCAATTACACTCTTTCCAGGTTCGGTGAAATCAGCGACATGCGATCAGCGTATACGAATACATGCTAAACGACGCATCACACGCGAAGCACGTGACAGGCGGGAATATTTTTGTCATACTCGAACCCGGTCACTGCACAACAGCAACAGGCGACCTTAACCACCAGGCCATCACGCCTTCCAAATGGACTATTCAGTCAATCGACCGATAATTTACGGGCAGACCAACATTTTAAATGGCCAACGGTCACATTACAACAACTCAGGAACTTGCGTGAATGTACAGTTCAGTACCTGCTGCAGTCGTACAGTGTGCAGGACAAGCAACTTCGTAATGATCTCATCAGTCTAGTCTCCATGCTACTGACCAAGTGTTGCAACGTGCCCCTCGTTGAAATGGGGTTCGTTAAGATGCTCACCCTCTTTGCTACCTTTCAAGAAGGTGGTTGCATTGCATTTGTTGTTTGTTGATTCAATATCAAAAGATTGATCGAATTAATTAGTCAGTTTTAAACTGCTGTCGTTTATTATATTTTTGAATATTTCACACACATACACACACACGCACACACGCCCACACACACATACATCGGTACAGTGAAGTCACACAACCTTCTTGTGAAGCACATGAAGCTGTATTGTGACGAGAACGAGGATTACGAACTGAAGCTGCTACTCATTGACATCATCATGCTGATGATTAAAATTCCTGGAGTTGTTAAGGTTTAATCATCTCATCGTGATCATTATTGTCATCCACATTATTGTAATTAACATAATCACCGTCACAATCTCGAACGAATGAACAGTAGTTAATCACATCATCACCACCATCATCATAACACCATCTTCAGCATCACCATCTTCATCGTCACTAACCATCTCAGGTCTACAGAGAATGCAATTTGATCCAATGCTTGTTGTGCTACGCTAACAACCCGTGCGGTAGGGATTTGTTTCTTGCTTGCCCTCAAAACAACCACCACGGAAATAATAATAGCATCATGAATAATGTGAATAATAATAACAACATGAAAAATGTTAATAATAAAAACAATAATAAAAACAATAATTATAATGGATGTAATTGTAGAATTAAAAATAACCATAACATATTTAATAGTATTAACATGACAACAAGTGGTAATAGCAATAATAATTCCAACAACAATGATAGTGTACGAATTTGTGACAAAAACCCAAACAACATCGCCACTCATTGTATGGACAGCCTGTGCAACAACCTTGATGCATTAAACACAGACAACTTCTTCAGCAAACATCAGACGGTAACTAACTTCTCTGTGGACAAATATTCTCCAAAAAATATGCAACACCATCAACTACAACATCAACTAAAACAACGACCAACAACGACAATGTCTCAATCTCGTGTTCTGCAGCCACGACTTGCATGGAACGCGCAACAATTCAAAGAAATACAACAACTCTCTCTGCTCGCCCTCTCCCAAGTTGGACCCTTGATGCTCGATGATGTCGTTGCTTGTCACCTGATCCAAGCTGTGTTGCACACTATGTACACTTGCATCAACAGACGTAAGTTGTCGTTAAATGCTTAAATTGAAAGTGAAAGCAGGGGGTGCCTCAGTTGGCACATGAAAGTTGAATCTCAACGACTTTCTCTAGCCTTATGATGCGGTGCTGACCGCTGGCTTGAACGTGTACCATACATACCAATGTGTGTGCACGGCCTTTGTTTGATAGAAATTTTAATTTGCTACTAAGGAAAAAAGTAATGATTTTGTCGGAGTTGTATTTAAAAAGTGATAATGATAATAAAATTATATTAGCTCAATAATCTCAGATTGATTGAATTTATTTACGTTCTAAATATTGAAGATTAAGCGCTAATTAAATTATCATGCAACAACCTAATCCAATGCATTCTTCTTTTCAGCTATTTGCTCCTGTTGTGAGTTCATGTGTGGTTGCAGCACTGAACATTTTGACTTACAAAACACTTTGATGCTTGATAAACGTCTACTGAAACGTTGCACAACAATTTTGCACAACTTGCTGCTGACGAGATATCAGAAAGTTCTTGATGAGTTCATTTGTTGCGGAGGGATGAACCTCCTTCTCTGTATGTACCAACAGTCACTTTTTTGAAGATTTTTCACCAATTTTTATTAGTTTACTCTAATTGTCGCTATCCACCCACTCATTCATTCCTTCATTAAAGGTATGCTGAGATATTTGCACAGCCAAGTAACCACGTTTGATGAAACACTGCAACTTGATAAGATGATAGTATCAACGCAGTCGGACATGTTCATGATACTATCATTCTCTTGCTATGGTAGCAAACAGAACAAAGTTGTTATTTTCGCTTTTTTCCAAATCAATTCATAATCTTTCTATGTATGTGCACATTCATTGATTGATTTTTAATGAGTTATTTTGGGGACATATTTATTATCACTAAATTTTTATAAATAAAAGATGTTGATTAAATTAGTCACGTGATTATTTCAGTTGATGTTTGGTGACAAAGGGGTTCAAACTATATTGACGTACATGAAGATGGACATAAGATTGTTGAATGCTTGCTTGGATCATTTCAATCTGCTTGTTGCAATAATCAATTGTTTATGGTTTGTGTTTATTTTTAATAAAACATCTTTGGCTATGTTTAAAATCAACATCAATTTTATTTCTTTGGTAAGATTTGGTATGGTATCAGCATGTGTGTGTGACAATGGAAATGAAATGTTTGTTTTTCATAGGACAGTTGTTATTGATGACACTACATTGGAAGAATACTTCTTTCAACAAAATGGCGTCCATCAGTTGCTAGATCTGTTACATGTTTGTTTCATTACATTTATATAGTTTTCATATCCTGTATCAACTAATTTATTAATAGATAACTCAACGTTAATGTTGACTGATGTGGCACTGCTTATTTAAGCGGCAGGCTACTTGCGGTCAATTCTCAAAACCGATTTTTAACTTATGATCGATTGAGAAATGTCATCCGCAAGTGAATATTATTTTTGAAATTTTTAAATCCATCTTATATTTATTTTAAAATATATCTTCACTTTAATATACCTGAAAGGCCATCTTTTGAACTTTTTAAATAAATTTTATGTTACGATTATCATCGACATCGTGAACATCGAATACCGGTGTAATGATATCAACCGATCATAATCAGTATATCATCATAAATAGAACGCACCGCACTCACTGAGGAACCAGATACTCGGCTGTTTATGCGACCTCACTGAGAACCCAGACAGTCTGGAACATCTCACCACCTGGACATTCGACCACAGCCACAACGACGATGGCTGCTCAGGCACCGACGGCGCCGTTGAAAATATGAAATACACCAGCAGCAGCAGCTTCAACAGGAACTTAGACAACGAAGTAGCTGGCATGAGTGATTTGGATGCACTATGTAAAAGAAAACAGTACAAATGTCAAATGACCTTGACCCATTTGTTGTGTGATCTCTGGAGACAGGAGGAAGCTAAACTTGGAGTGATCAGAGATGACTTGGGAGTCGTCCTTAGTAATGTTTTTTTAATTTTGTCAGTTTTTGATGTCATTTTATTGAATAATTGCGGGTGCAATATTTCAAGACAAACAGTCGCCATTGGCTACAAAGAGTCAACTGGATCAACCTTTAATCAAACAACCAGCCAGCCAAATGAGCTGTTCAATCGTTGATGTTTTTGAAAATTACAGAGCGAAGATATATGCACTCTTTCGAAAAATAGGTGTTTTTTGTTTCGCCCTATTCATGAATAAATGCTAAAGAATTCAATAAAATTTTTGACTTATCGACATAAACAAGGATATCCCGCATACCCCGAGATGTGCAACGAAGACCAAATAACAATGGTTGTCATCCAGCATTACATGGATTGCAAGGTCCTGAGTTTGTGACCACCATTCAAAATTCGTTTATTTACACAATAAATAACGGCTTGAATTAATCTCGTTGGACTTTTTCGTTTAATGACTGCGATGTAACGCAATATTTCATTGCAGTTTTTTCTTACTATTCACTCTTCAGAAGTCAGAAGCATCAATCAATATCAATGTTACTATGTAATGTAATGTTGAATGTAATTAATTGATAGAAAATGATATGTACTGAACGTACTGCTGTCTAGGAGTCAGAAGTAATGAAGGAGGTGATGGAGGAGTTATCAGAGGAAGGCACACAACCGATCGGTCCTGATGGTGAAGCCATGCACCTGGTCATGAGCATCATCGACATGAAACACGATCGACTAATCAGAGAGCAGAAAACTCTGGTGGAATGCATAAAGGACAGGGATGCGTGGCAGGAGGAACTCTACTACGACGAGGTGCTACAATTATCGTGGAATATATAATCAACATTCTTACTGACTTTTGTAACTATTCAATCATCTGAAGTTGAGAAGATTGAAATGTGACGAAGATAAAGTGAAGATGCAGTTCAATGAGATGTTACTGAGGACGTCTAATCACGACGAACTGAAAGTACATTCGCCATTACTTAAAACTTACTTACATCATTGACGTAATTTTGATTTTTCACATAAGAAATCAAAGGAAGCTAAGAGAGGCGAATCGATGAAAAAAAAGAACTACAAGGCTCTCAATGATGATTATGACAGATTGAACATCACTGTTAGTTGAGTGAATTTTGTTGTAAAATTTCTTAAAAGTAAAAAGTTGCGAATCATCAATATAACAGAAACATAATTTCTGTTGAGTAAATAGTTAGAAATGTATGATTTAATAAAATACAATGTAGATAACAAAATATTCACACTCAACTAAAGTATAATTAATTAAATTTCAGACGTTTTGTGGAAGGAACATTCAAATGATGAATCGTCCATGAAAGGATAGCCATCAATTACTTTAATGCATATATTAATTTTTAAAATTCATTTTGTTTACATTACATGAGCAATATACAATATATATATATAACCTAATTAATTTATGTATATATATATATATATATATATATAATATATATATATATATATGACTGTCAGAAATGCAATTATTGATGAAAATCATAGCATGTTCGGCGTTAGTTAACTTCTAATTTAACTAAATCGGAAAATTAAATTGGAAGTTAACTAACGCAGAACATGCTGTGATTTTCATAAATAATATATACATATGTACATATATATATATATATACACACATAAAAAAATTAATTATTGAATTATTTAATCAAATTTAAATGCTAACCTGTGATTTGTTGCAATGATTAAAAAATTCTAAACCTATAAATTGTAGCTTACATTTTATTAATAAAATTGGCGTATGTTCGTTGAAAAAAATAAAAATAAAGATATTTATATATGTATTATTAAATTATTCGCAAATAATGGTCTCACATGATCCAACAACGAAACATTTAGTATGAAAATCGCGCGGAGATTAATTAGAATGCAATCATTATATGCTAAATAAATCAGATCTACTTTATGTAAAATTTAGTCCAGCCATTTGATCGTAAGTCAAAAAAAGTCACTGACTGATAACTTTCTTTATTAGTAGAAAAATAAAAAACATAACAATGATAATATCGTCGTCATCATCATTGACATTACCATCCTAATTCTCGTTATGCTGAATAAATTGTGGTCATTCACTGCGTATAAACAGTATAAAATGTTGCACCAGTTGGAGTTGAAATAAAATATCGTAATAAAAATAATTTATAACAAGAATCAATTAACCTCTTCCAAAATATGATACATTAATAATAATTATCCTTTTGCAATCTAGACTAGTGACGATGAAAAAATATTTTCATTACAAAACATTATTACTGAAACACGCACATGAACAATTTAATACTATGTTTATGATAAAATCGAATTAACAATATCTATATCAAATACAAAAATATATATGATGTGAGTTCCAATAAAGACGACATATTTGCCAAAACAAAAACAGTAATAAAATATAATCATGTAATTAGAATGTAATGTTTAGGGTGCACTGCAAGAAGCAAGCACATCTTCAATGACACGGACAACGGACAAACTCTTAACATACTATCAGCATAATAATCTGTTCATTAAAATGGCTTCATGTTCATATGCTAAGTATATACACATTTCATTTCTGACACATAATTCAAAGCTGCTTTATAGCTATTGCCAATTTTTAAAAAATATAAAATGAAGAAGTTGAAAATTACAAATAGATGATGGAAATTTTGACAGAAATGAAAAACGCTTATATAAAATTATAAACAGATACACACAGACAAGACATAACTGTGTTTCAAATATGTTCAACTGACAAGTTTGTTGCTCACAAACAGTTATGATTGGAAAATGTATTAAAATGTCTGATTAGAAAAACACATTATGACTAGATTGTTATATTATGGAAAGGTAAAACCCATTTCAAATTTAAAACATGTAATCAAGAATGAAATTGAGAAAATAGAATTTGATAAAAAGCTAAAAAGATGGTCGATCTGAAAGCAGGTCATTGGATAAAATACAACATACTAGACATTATTGTTTGCATCTGAATTCTGAGATGTGAATTTTAATTTCATATGGTTCGCTGATCTGCTCATCTGAAAATAATCATTTCAAAAGGTTTAAACCATTGATTCATTAATTTTATTTGAAATGTAGTGTTTAGAAATAAATAAAATGTTTCAATTTGGCCCACTTGTTGGTCTCGATCATCTTCAAGTAGGTCAGCTTGCAGTTGTGGTTCGTCATCTCCAGGGTCAAACTTGTAAAGAGGCATAAGATGATGGCGCAACCTGTTCAGTCTTTTCAGAAATTTTATGCAATAAATTACAAAGTAATCTATAATTCAATATATCCCAGAATTTATAAAAAATTAAAAAAATGAAGTTTACTTTCAAAGAGTATACTGACTATATAATATGTAAATATAATTATGAAGACTATCAAACATAACTAAAAAATAAACACCAAGACTCACTTGGCTCTTTTCATGATATAAGCAACCTGAAGTACGTTATTTGTTAAGTAATTTAAATTTGTAATGTAATGAATTACAATTAGATTAATTAGTATTGATTGATTGAGCAAAGCAATAAATAAACTAATTAAGTGTTATTTATAAATGAAAAAGAAACTCAATACATAAATAAAATTTAATGAATTTGAGGGCTAACTAAAACTAAAAAACTAACGAGAAATACAAGGGCCAGGACAAGAGAAATCATACAGAATGCTATGATGAAGTAGAGGAAGAAATGTGATGAATGTACAGGATTTTGCAGATCCACATTCGTTGAATTAGAATCAGGTTTGTAGCTTGGGACGATATAATCTGCATTTGAATTTCTGTTCTTCAGAGTTTTGTACGTAGATTCGTTCGTCATTGGATCTTCTTTTTCCACTGAAGAAAGCAGTCTAATGTTGACGTTTTCACCGTAAAACTGTTGGAAACTCAGTGTCATTATGATTTATTATTTAATACACAAATACATGCAAACATCAATCGGAAAACTAATTCCATTCACATCGTAGTTTTTTTTTATTAACAAACAGCCACCCGGCTAGTTAGGGGTAAAAACTGCTTTTTAAATAATAAATAAAAACCTAAGTCTCGTTCATTATTTACATTACATAAAATTACCGAACCAAAAAAGCGCAGAAAAATAAAAATTCAGGTTATAAATTTAAACTATTGAGAAAACTTATCTATTCATCACTTTATGAAAAAATTTAAAGTAGAACTTTTTTATAATAAAATTATTGAATATGGTATTTTTTATTTAACTAGTTTTTAAAATCTTTGAGAGCGATAAAAGCTAAACTGCGGTTTATTTGCGCGCCATTCCGTTGTGATGTTGACAACCTATTTCGGTTATTTGGATAATGGCTGTCCTAAACTGTTAGATTAAAATTTATTTATTCATTGTCCATTCTTTCATTGTGCATTGTTGTTCGTTTATTCTCTCATTGTTCATTGTCGTTCGTTCATCTCCGGCTTAGAATTTATTGTTTAGTAATTTAACCGCTTTTTTCATTCATGACTCTTTAATCTATAATTTAAATATAAATAAATAATAATCAACGCGTATGGTGCTTCAGTTTTATTCGTTTGTTTTTCTGGACGATGTTTTTTGTTCCGCTTTTAATGCCATTTCCGCAGTTTGAAAAAACCACATACCAATTTTAATAATCGGGCTTATTTATTGGTTGTTGGGAGTAATTAATAATACAATAATTATCAAACCGCCGTAAATTGCTTAGGATCGTTCATAGCTCTTTCCAAGTTTGACGACTTGGGGGTTTTGTTTTATTTTTGATGTGACAAAACGCGTTCACACGATTAAATAAAACAGGCGTTTATTGAATATATAATATATCATGAAATGTTCGCTCTGGCACTCAACTAAGTTTAGCTTAATTATTTTTTGACTTTTCGTATTTGTGTTAAACAGGTTAATGTTCTATTTGTACATAAATAAAAAAGCATTCTACAAATGATAAAATGCATGAAAACTAACGTCAAAAAGGGTTAATTAATTAATTAATTAATTAATTAATTAATTAATTGATTGATATATTAAAATTGACTTGTGTAAATGCAAATAGTTGATTGATGTAAGATATCGAAAGAGAAATAAGTCGCTGTATGATGTTGATTAGTATCACATACGTTTAATAATACTTTAGTTTTCTTTATTTATACAAATCAACAAATTTTCAATTTTTCGTGTGTGAATGGGCCATTCGGTAGCGTGTGTAAAATGAATCACTGTTGCAAAAGAAACCTGGAGGACACTCATCACACGTCATCTCTTCGGTTTCTATTTTTGAACATGCATCTTCATTATCCAGCCTACACGATTAAAAATATAAATATATATGTAAATATCTTATGTCAAAATTCAGATATTGGCGAGCGATACTTCTACTACTGCTCTATTATCTCGGCATCTTTATAACACGAATAAACTGGAAAGCCCTCGTACTAAATAACATCCCAAAACAGCGCATTTTATTAAAAATAACCCGTAAAATTGATAACGAATCCTAAAAAATGTAAAAATGAGAATGTCACTCAACTTAGGATTTTAGAATCAGAAGCTGTCTTTAATAAGACAAAAATTCAGGAATCAAGATACAACAAAAAAACAGATCACTAATAATTCGACAATTGATATATTGAGACAACAATATTTAAACTGGACAGATGACTAATAAAAATGGTGAACTGTCCTTACCTAAAATCAATCATTAACAAAGCTGACTCTTTATTAGTAACATATGTAAAATAAGAAATTGTGCTGACATTGGTCATTGAATCGAAATGTAATTGTGAGCGTTGTTTGAATAATAAACATTGCTTGAACTTGAGTAAACTAAACTATCTTAAAAAGACTTTAGTGAGAGCCATTGAAGAATAGAATTGTGTAGAATTTGATGACTCATCCCCTACTGATATTCGATATTAAAATATTTTTAAAATGTGGAAATTTTAAAACTTTATCTTAAAGCTGATTGATTTAGTTCAATAGAATTCACTGTGTGTAAAAATTGTGAACACTAACATTAATCCGAAATAGCACAAGATGTATGTAAGTTCGGCTTCCACGCTTTTGGCGCATTGAAATCCACTTCTGTCTTCGATGAATATCTATAATTTTTTTCATGCAATAACATAACCAGTTTTTTTATGTATGTTTAATGAATATCTGTAAATGCTTGAAGTAATGCCAATATGCCACAAATTCAATTAAAAAAGTCCCTAAACCGAACATATATATAATCCTCAAAAAATGTTTGCTCAATTGTTTTGAATAATCATTAAATGAAATAATTTTGAATGGACATTGGTTGTCAATAATTCGTTACGTTTGTTGTAAAAATTGTAATGCACAAGAAGGCAAAAACAATGAAAAGGATTACCTTGGGATGGAACACGCAACGTCTATCGAGACACTTGATGTATGTCCAGAAGGAGTCGGTGACCGAACTGCTCAAATCGTAATCAGTGCTTGTGTTCAATATCAAACCGCCCCTTCCGTACGAAATCTCTAATAATCCGTCGTCCACACTTAAGTAATAGGACATGTTGCTTATTGGTCCTTCGTGACGCTAACGACGAATGCAGTATAGTGTAGTGATATAATTATAATATCATATAATAGTTATAGTACGTACATGCCAGAGGTTATATAAATTTATTGTTGATCGGTTATTTAATAGTGGAATGAATATGACAATCTCACCATTGGAAAACCGGTTAGGTTCGTCATGATGTCCTGCATTAGTTCAACTTCATCAGGCGTTAAGTCGATACTGGCGACCAGAATGTTAACTTTGTAACAAACAAAAATGGAACAGATCAGCAAACAAATGTTCTTCATTACTTATTTATTTGGTAATTAATTCAATCTATAAGTTAACTGCAGGCTGCGTTGGGAAAATTAAGGATTGAATTTGTACAGTGGGATTAATTTTTATTCTAAATAGTTTGATAAATCAAATAAATGTTATGAAAGAAGTTTTAAATTATCAGCTGAATTATTATAATACAACATCAAAAACTTGTTGAAAACGACAAGCTTTGTGATTAACTTTTACTATTATTTGTGCATTTTTTTTAGAAATTTGCAAGAGGCGTGGTTTGTTTAGTTTTAATTTTGAAAGTACTGTCAAAGTACGAGGAGCAAATAAAACAATAACATATCTAACAAGCATCAGCATCTGCTTTTAGTGCTTACTCCCAATGAGTTGTTGTTTACAATTGTCTAGTCAGCTGTCTTGCATTTAAGCGCCTAAAATAAGCATCAGGGAATTTTTACACAGAACCAAAGAAAGTAAAACATTTTCTGCAGTAAAATCTTAAAAAACTTTGAATTTTCATTTTACGTTGTTCATGAAGAAGAAGTTAGAGAACCGGTTTTCTAAATTTTTTCAAAGAAACGTTTTTAAATTTATCAAGGAAGTAATCGTCGGCGGCGCTCCTAAACCAGAGTTTTTTTTATTTTAATTAATACTATAATTTTAAATTGTAGGGGTCTATTAAATTAAACAGAAGATTTGTTTTATCGAAAAAATGTTTAAAAGATATTGAGCGATGGTCTGTGTCAATGATTGTTAATGATTTATAAAAATTGTAAATGTATATATTTACAAAATTACCTTTTTAAATATTAAATGAAATATAAATTAATAACGATCATACGAACGACTTCATTAGCATTATCTTCATCGTCATCATCTTCATTGACGTTTCATCATCGTCATCATCTTCATTGACATTGTGTCATCATCAGCAAACAATTTTCAAATTTTGAACAACTCATGGAATACAATTGACAATCTCGTTACAACATGAATAACATCATCCACTGAATAAATTCATAAACTGCTTTGAAAGAAACATTCACTTACAATGCTTGTTGTTAGCTCATTTTATTATTTTTATTTTTAATACCGGCTGATCAAATTGCTAAACGAACCTAAACAAACATGCATAGGCATAAATAGCCATAAATAAGCAAACAATAATATATATCTCTTATTGTTTAACTTTTTTCTCATTGTTTTGTTTGTCCGCTAGAATTGAGTTGTGGTCGTTATTTATGACGATGAGGAATTTTATTTTTCAATTAAATTTAATGTTTTCATTTTGATCTTAAGTTTTTAAGGATTTTATCTAACTAATAATATAATGCTTCTCAATAAAGGTGCTTATTTTATTCACCACACAAAAAAAAACAAAGGACTATAGCGACTTTTTTTAGTTTTTAAGTCAGGATATAGTTACAGGGTAAAAAAAAACTAAAGCGTTTTTTAAAGTCAATAATATACACTGATTGTACGATCAAATATTAATTCATGCACGACTAGATAGAATTGGACTCCACAAAAGTGATTAAGACATGGAAGACAAACATGAATACAAATAAGGAAAGATCATACACAGCGTATTGTGACTTTAGTTCTTGATAATTCTTCTTGCGTAATAGGAGCAGCCGTTAAAAGATGTCTTATTGACGTGTGCTTCCAACAGACGCACCTCATCCAGCCGCGTGTACACCTCCGTTTTGTACTTGTGCGTGTGTGCAGGTGGGGGGTCTGGGTACTTTCTGGCTAGGTTGACGTCATCAACCACTGAGGTCTGGTTGGTGTTAGTGGTGTTGCTTACGTCAATTGTGTTGTTGATGTTGTTGTTGATGATGTTATTGCGTTTGGTGCTTAAATTGATTGACTTGATGTAGTTGTCTGAATGGTTGGTAATTATTTCCTTGTAGTGAACATTTGTATGTTCAATGCTGTTAATACGCTCCATGCTGGTGATTGTTGTTATGTTGTCGTTGTTGCTAATGTTTGTTGTATGTTGGAAAGATAGGTTGTTGTTGTTGTCTCTTTTATTTACCAAGATGCCGTTAATATTTGTTTGATTGAGAAGTTTTAAGCGTTTGTTAAAATCATCAACATGTATTAAATTTACGTAGTTGAAGTTAGGTGAAATGCTGTTGTTAATGTTTTTGTTGATGTTGTAGTTGTTGGTGTGAGTTTTGATAATGTTGCTGATGACAACCTGATTATCACTATGCCGATTGTCATTATCACCATCTTCCTCGTCATCTTGAACTTCATACGCACTATTATCATGACCACTTTGCAGCCATAGCAACGCGATGATTTCATTTTTCCGCTCGTTGAGTAGTTTCACTCGTTTCCTCAGCGCTCTTTCTATCAAAGTGCTCTTCAACAAGTCGTTGCACACTTTTGTCAGTTCCATTTTTAGGCTGTTGTACAGACAGGCTGTGTCCGCTAGGGCCTGAAGACTATCTGCGTTGTTGCTGGTCACGTGGTTTGCGTTGATGTTTGTCGTGTAGTTGTTCGTTTTTTTGCTTCCTGTGGCAATAAGTTTGTTAACATGTTTGTTGTTGTTGCACCGCTGAAATATGGTTTCAATATTTTCTATTGCACCGCCTTTGTCGTAGATCGCTGTGTTTGTTTGTCGTTGTTCAGCAATGTTGTCGTTTTCTCGCCTTTCATTTGAAGTGAAGTAATATACGTCATTGTCCACAGCGTTGTAACTATTGTCGTTGCGGCTCGTTAGGCAAAAATTTCCAGAGTTGCTATCGAAATGATGTGTCTTGCTTGTTGAAAATTTATTTTGATCACTGATGCCGTATAGCTCTTCTATATAACTCCTTTTTGTATCACTTTGCTTATTATTACTTCTTGCGTAATAGAGGTGATACTGATCGTAATCGTCAATTTCTGCTTTGGGAATGATGTTATATTGGACGTTAATGCTTGTGTTTGTCGCATGCACTGATGATGATGTTGCTACTGCTGCTGTTGCTTTTGTTGTTGCTGCTGTTGCTTCTGCTGTTGCTGCTGTTGATAATGATGCTGCTGATGATGACGACGATGATAATAAAAATGGTAATGAGTTTGACGAGGATGTTGATAATAATGTTTCCAATGTTGACGATGACGTTTCAGTTGTTATATTCTCCACTAGTCTCACATTTCCGACTGATGTGCCATGCAAGGAGTCTGCTGTTGTTTGCTGGCTGGCAGTTGTGTAATGTGTTGTTGCTGTGCTTACAGGTGATAGATTTTGGAAGTGATTATTAATATTATTATTATTGTTGTTGTTGCTATCACTATTATTATTATTATTGTTATTGTTACCATCATCATCATTATCATTGTTGGATATGATGGTGTTGTTATTATTATTTACGCTGCAATTTTTATTTTGAATTGTTTTCATTTCACCTCGTTTTTCATCTCCACCATCATCTCCATTATTACCATCATCGTCTTCTTCTTCTTCTTCCCTATCTTTCTCCATGTCATTGCATTCATTTTTTACTTTTCCATTATTTTCTAAGTTAATATAATATGTGAGTTGAGGTAATGCACTATTTAATAAATTTTTATAGCTGCAACGATCATTCGTCTCATCTTCTTCCTCATTCTCATCGTTATCATCACTGTCAGAAACATTTTCAACATGACTCCAGATATTATCATGAGTTCTTTTCAGCTGTGCAGCATTATCCGTTTTATGCCGTTTCCTTTTTATCTCGCCATCGCTATCAGCAGTGCTGCTGTTGTCGTCATCATCAGAATGACTTTTACATCGGCTGATTCCATCATCTTCAAAAACCTCAGCAGACCGTTTCATTCTTTTCTTTATTCTATTTTTAATTTCCTCCGCACGAACAAGTCGTTCGTAGAGTTGTTGTTTCTTGTTGAGTTTAGATGATGATGTTGTTGATGATGTTACTAGAGATGATGTTGTTGACGATGTTGTTGACGATATTGTTGACGATGTTGCTAGTAATGTTGTTGTTGAGTGGCGTTCGTTAAGTTGCAAAGTTTGTAGGGAAACAGTCGACGTTGAAGAAAGATTCATTCCGCTGGTCCGCTGGTTGGAAGAGTTCATGCAATTTGCCAGTGTGTTGTTTGGGTGGTGTTTGTTGATGAGATTGACAACGTTCGAACAATGTTCACTTTTTGGAGTATTGTTGTTGGAAATGATTTTGTCGTTGGTTTCTTGGTGTTTGTAGTTACTGATTGTGTGTTTGTTGTCACTGTGTACTTGACTGTTACTTTTCAAATTGTTTTCAGCAAGAAATTCGTATTTATCGAGTCCCGTTGGAACGCTGTTGGGTAAGCTGATACTTTTATTGTTAACGTTGTCTGTGCTACTAACGTGGTTTTTGTTTGTAACTTCCGTTGGCTCGAGCATTTTACTTCTTTCCTCGTTTGTTAGGTGACTTTCCGTTGGGTTTGTTTTGTTGGAAGAATTTAAGTACTTCATGTCATTGTTAGTTTCGTGACTTATTTTTGAATTTTCGAAGTTGTTGGATGCGCTGTTCAGTTTGTAAGCAAAATTATAGCTACTTGATTTGATATTATTTAAAGAATGATTTCCCGTTGATGAAAAATTTGCATTGATGTGTGTGTTTACATCTTTGTCCCTCTTTGTGTGGCAGCTATCAACGTTGGATTTGTTGTTGTTGCTGCTGTCGTTGCTGCTGTTGTAGTTGCTGTCGTTATAACTGTTTTGATTGCTCCCGGCATGACCGTTAGGGGTCTTAATGTTTGCTGCCTGTGTCTGATTAGTGACGAATCTACCGTAGCTCGTTGTGGTTGACGATGACGATGAAGAAGTTGATGATGACGTCGATGGGAAGGAAAATGTCGGTAAGTGTGGGTGTTTTTTGTGGCCGATGATTTGCTGCTGCTGTTGCAATTTGTTGATGATCTTCATGAATACGCTAAGGATAGAAAGTTTAAAAAATTGTACAAAAAAAATTAACTTCATCCTAACTTCAAACGTTTCATCATAAACAGCCTGTTGATTCAACTGAAGATTCCATAAAAAAATGATCCACACATACATTCGTGCATCCAGTCTGAAAACTCTCTACAAATTACTTCATCAAATTTTATTTTTGCACTCACTCACTAAAACCTGATGACTTACTTTTCAGAATTTTTCATTATGATTGATTTTATTAATCGTGCAGTTCAAAAAAATATTTTTCAGTAAATTTAAGATGAATAAAGAAAATTAATTAAGCGGACCATTCATGAGTGACTATTTTATCCAATATTACGTGATATATATGTGTATATATATATATATATATATATATATATATATATATATATATTATACATAGCAACCATGACAGGATAAACAAAACTTATATATATATATATATATATATATATATATATATATATAATATATATAGATATGTAAGTATGCGCGTGTGTATGTATCTTTAATTGTATGTTCAGTCAATCAGTTGTTGCTATATAACGCTTTTCTTGTTGCTATGGTGACGATCGCTTTGTTGTTTGAGATCAGTGTGTTTGCATATTTATGTGAATATGTGATCTTGTGTGTTAGGCAGCATGCATCCGTTGTCTGCTTCACGCACGTTGAATGTTGTAATACGTAATTGTTTAGAACTTGAGTTTTTATAGCTGAAATAATTTTGTTAACAGATGATAATGATCAATCAATAAATAATCCTTTTTCACAACTCATGTGACCTATGAGGTTGTAGATTTCCAAATCTATTCAATTTCGTCCAATTTTATTCAATTCAATATTTCCAGTCCATTTTACAATGTAACCTATTTTTATGTCAGGTCTTCTAACTTTTTCCTCATTTAAACAGATTTGAATAATCTGTAATCCAGTCTCTAGCAAAAATGTTTTCAATTTTCTAATTGATGTTATTCGAAGTGACCTGCTTTTTCCATATGCTTTCGCCATTATTTTGGTTTTTTAAGAGAATTGATTTACTTAAAATTATGTCATTTTCAATCTTCTTTTTATGCACCTTATTTTGTGTGTTTGAATGAATTGATAACTAATTGTCTTAAAAGTCCCATATTTCGTCCTTTTTTTGTCATCACCTTTCGAAACAACAACTCTTGCACTATAGTTTTAACATCAACCCTGAGCGTGCATCATTATTATCATATGGCCTTAATTCTGCCTTCCACAAATATATAAGATTCACCATAAATATCGGTCATCGATCATTTCGTCAACAATCGTTTTGTCTAAATTCATTTTGTCTAAAATCTTTCTATCTGAAGCTAAATTGGTTTCGCATTTATTTTGTTAGTTTAATATTAATTTTTTTCTAATTTGTTTTGTCTGAATTTATTTCGCTTAACTCACGCGTCTCTAAAAGACATTAGATTTAAAATAAAATTGAAGTTTAGTTTAAAATAAATTTTAAAATATTGATATTAATTTAATAATATTTGGATGTAACTTCTTAGGACTAGAATAAAAATCAGACAAAATGAGGTTAAGCTACACTGGATTATAAACAATGAAATAAACACAAGTTTACACTAGGCGACTCAAATTTAAACAACAAAAATTTAGACAAAATAAATTAAAGAAAATAAGTTTAGACGAAATGACTAGGGTCTAAAATATCTACCGCGAATAACTTCTATGAATATTATACAAATGACCCATTCAAAAACTTTTTCCGTATTTTGCACTTCTCCATCAATAGTTGATTAAAAGATTTATTTAAAAAAATTATTCATCACTCGATTATATTTTTTTTGTGAAAAAATTTGTCATTTTTGGTTAATTTTTATGATATTCTGGTCTGCAACGACAATTTTATCTTTTTCTTCAAATTCTTTCATTGATGTATGAGTTTTCACCGAACAAAACCAGCATTCTACCTTAAGCCAATGAAATTTTGTTTGAATAATGAAAATTTATTTCCCTAAGTTGGATTTTACAATCATAACTCAAACAGGCAGCTCGAAGAAAAAAGATTTTTTTCAATGATTGATATATAAGATACAAAAAATACAAAGATGAGGACGACGATTTCAATTAAAATATAACAAATTAACTGTGAACAAGAGTGTGATTAGGACAATGACGCAACCACGACGAGAACAGCGTTATTTAAATGGAAGGTCTTTAAAACAATCGATGATGATTCAGTGTAATTTCAAAGCAGCAAGTGGAATTAATAACAACAATAATGACGATGATGATGTTGACGACGGTGATGCACGCACGTAGCCGCAATATTACTGCTACATTAATAATGCGATGATAATCGCATTTCATTAATGTACAGTTTGAAATGTGTGAAAAATTATTTAGACAACTGCTGTTTACCCTACGTTTTATTGCACTGTTAAGCTACATTTTCAATGTTAAAATGATGAAACTATCACAACAACTGATGTGAATTTTAATAATTTTTGGTATAATTTTTATTAAATGGCACAGTTTTAATGAAAAATTATTTGCAGATGTAATGACAACAATTAAAATTTTAAAAAGTATTAACACGTGGAGAGGCAGTAAGAGTAATTAACGGAGTTTTAATGTCTTTATTGATTGCATGTATCTTTGCTACACTCGACACTAACGATACATTGCATAAGATAACAATAACTCATATTATCATATCTTTATAATATGAACAACCGTAACGGCAAAACAACAAAAAAAAACAAGCTCCAGGCAACTATTTAAAACAGCAAAGAACATGACTAACAATATTAACAACAATAACAACAACAATAATAATAATAAATACTAATAGAAACATAAGAGACTTGAATATAAGGAAAAAAATGAAAACGTGCTTTGTGTTGTGCGTTACACTCAATATCCGATTTTGTTTAGTGTACCTAGCAACGGCAAGCTGTTGCCAATGACGCGTTCGTAGTCATAGCAACGGCAAAACAGTGTTGCGCTGATGACCAGGAGTTGTTTATTAATTGATTGATTTGTAAATGCACGTGCCTTATTTTTTCATTGCTTCTTCTGCGTTTGTTTGTTTGATAAGTGTGTACGTGTGTGTGTGTGCGTGTGTGTGAGTACGTGTGTGCGTGATTGTATGTATACATGTGTGTGTGTGTGTGGTAGTTACTCGGAAATGTTCAATAAAGAAAACAAAAACGTTCAGTAACGCATTAAGTGCATTCGATTAAATTTATGTTTGTGCTCTGCGTGGGTGCATACTTTTTACTTGTTTGTATGATAATTATTTACTATTTTCAATTTTGTTGCTCTAATATAATATGAAAAAAATACACATGTGTATATGTATAATAGGTACTACAACTCTGTATCTAACTAAAACAGCTCATATCATAGACGTCATTAATATTTTAATTTAACATTAAGTTAAAAATCTGTCGTGTATCAGCATTTTCATTATTACAGGCAATGAAATTAGTATTATTTACAACATTTGAAACGTTCATATATTTCTGTCTGTAAGATTAAGATTAAGGTGGTATAGGTAAAGGTAGGCACTTTCAGTAAGTGACTTTCACGCACAAACATGCACATTTCAGTCGGCACGTTAAAGTTTTAATTCATACTAGCGACGACGACTTAATAAAAAAAAGTGCAAGCAATTTATTGAAACAACGATAACACCGAATTAAGTTACGAATATGTACCATTTGTAGCCATGGTGACGACAATTACAACGGCATTAATTGATTTTTCAAATAATAATCTAATAGGCTGTGGGACCTAAGTGGATGAAATTTTCGAATTTATCATTGTTAGCTACCTTTTACAGACAGAATAAATAATTTATGTATTTGTTTGAATATGGCACGCATACACATCTTGTACACACAAACACACACACACACTATATATATATATATATATATATATATAGCATTTTTTTTCAAATTCAAGCATAATAGAACAAAAAAACTTCTTTCCGTATTTCTATACAATCAATCAATCAATAAATCAATCAATTAGTTAGTTTTTAAAGCACTATTTCCGCGATGTTCGACTGCGCTCCTCAGTGAATTTTGCAAACAGATGGGTCTTGAGATCCACTCTGAACTTCGTAAGTGATGAAGCAGTAGTCAGAGAATGAGGTAGAGAGTTCCAGAGAAAAGAGCCTAAAAAAGCAATTGCAGAACATGCTGTATTTTCACCAATAAATGAATACCATCCTCGGTGTTTAGAAATGATACGAAATGCTCAAGTATATATGTATATTGTCTTTTGGATATATGTTATATATATGTATATATATATACACATACATATATATATTATATATATATATCCAATAAGCAATGAAAATTTTCCCTTATAAAGCTACATGTATACAAATGTTCCTAAACCTAGGTGTACATATATAAATATATGACATATATATATATATATATATATATATATATATATATATATATATATATATATATATATACATATATAATTAAAAGCTTTGGTAGATTTCAATTTGGTATGTATAAATATAATATTTAATTAAAAACTTTGGAATATATATATATATATATATATATATATATATATATATATATATATATGTATATATGTTATTCAATTATAAACTTCGTTTATTATTCAAAAATAAACTAATTCACACAATATGAGATTATGAATCGGATATGTACTCGTTGGATGACCTCATCTCCTATCTACCGTACAATATATCAATCCAAACACTACCAAGATCTTTTAATCAAGTACTTGCAAAACTTCGCAGGCTTACCAGCCAAAAAACCTTTCTCAATAGTTCAAGTCAAATAATGATAAATTTGTTTTTTGAAACATTTCATTCGTAATTTCGGATAAAATGTGAATTATAACTGAAAAATTTACAGACGAATTTTAACAAAAATTCAGCGAACAGAAGTATCATATGACAAATTTGCATTTTGTTCAAATATTTTAAGAGAAGTATCATATGGCAAATTTGCATTTTATTCAAATATTTTAACTTACTCTCCATGACGCAATGAACTCAAAATAAAATTTGCAAACCGGGTAATCAAATTAGATTCAGCTTATGGCTGATCATGACTAGCATACAGCGCATTAACAAAGCAAGCAAACCAGACATTTGTTGAATTAAAGTACAATTATTTTAATAAAACGTTAATATTTAATATTTTGAAAAAAATTTGCTAGCATTTACAACAATATTTAAAATAAGATAAAAAAAATGGGAACCCTCTTGTTTTCAATCATTTTATTTCTGCCGATTCATCAATCATATTCGAGTGGTAAGTTTAACTGTTGACGTTCAAATTTATTTTTTGAATTCTTTTAGTTTAAACTTTTAGTTATTTTTTTAAAATTACCCGCCAAGGATTAAACACAAGTTGGAGCAGAAAGTTTTCTTGCGCCAACGGAATTCAAGAGCTGCCATTCAATCTGGTCGAACCAGAGGAAGAACAACTCAATGTGGTTGACGATTTAAGAATTGATGAGTCAATGCTGAGTCTGCAGTTTAAATATAGAAAAACTAAATTTTTCAGTTAGATCATTTCGTTCATTTTCTTTTTAAAATGTCAAAAAAAATTCATATTTTAATTCAAATGATTTATTCAACGTTATAAAATGATCAGAAACAATTAAAAATAATCATGATTCATGTTACTGACTAGTTCATTTACAAGAGCCAACAACACTCAGTGAAAAACGATGAGAGATAAAGATTGCAATTGATTAAACACTGTCGCGTGAATGCTGTCACCAGAGTAAAGTTAAAGGGAAAAGGTGAGCTTACGAGCTAAAACCCCCCGCAATGGAAAATTTTGACAGAAATAACGCTAAATTGAGCAAAATCTCAAAATGTATTTGTATAGGTTTGGACGGAAAATTATTCCAACCGCCACAACAATAGAATATATTAATAGAATTATGTTAATCTTTACACAAAACCATCGGTTTTGATAACAGCAACATTTGTTAAAATTTTGTGATAAGAATAGGTCAGAAATTTATTCGGCAACATCGGCAACAAGTTTTAGCACTCGACAACAAATTTCTGGTTATGCTATAGTCACACAAAACTTGTTTTATTTGTTATCTTAGCTATTTGTCATCGATTGTAAACCATAGAATCTTTTCATACCATGAAGGATTTTAAAAATCTACTGCAGAGGATGTGTATGTGTATATGATGTTACGAATAACGAACTTAGTAGCGAGGTTTGAGGCAAAGTTGTAATTGTGATTTATGTAGTTACTTGGATTAGTTTAGTGTTTCTATTACAAATAAACGTTCAACAAAGTTTGCGTTTGAAGCAGTTGTGTTAATCTTTCGGAAATCTTGAACCAACGGCAGGGATTTACAAACTTTTTGCTGTGAGGACCGCATCGAGAACTATTTTACCTTTGAAGGGCCACATATGTACTTAAATAGCAAATATTTTTGACCCGGGGGTGGGATGAGAATTGTTTTAAGGTTTGTGGCTCTTTTTTGTCATAATGTCTGGCTGCCGACCTTTTTTTGGCGAACAAGGCACATTGCGAGCATTGTCAAACATTTGCATTGATTTTTTTAGAGAATGTTTCGACAGCGAAGTTAAACAAACTTTTTAAACAAATTCGCTTCTTGATTCTTCTATATTCAAATGTAGTTTTTATTGTAGATACGCACGTGCTAGCTAACGTTTTTATTGTTACGTTTTAATAAAGTTGAAATTGATTTCGTTTGATAGTAGAATTTATTTTACGAATCACCACCGCTAGCTTATCTGCAAGTTTTGAATCCGCAACCAGACTCAAACAACCGCCACCTACAAGCAATCTTCTTCCACAGAAACTCCCTGCACACGGTCAACGGACACAGATATCCATTGGAAGTAATTTTTCGCAAATATTCATCGGCCATACAATTTTTTCGTATTCTGATTAGATTTTTGCAAATGTATGTGTTTGCAAAATTAAATTAATTTTAGGTAACAACTATTTATTTCACTTACCTAATATTTTGTTAGATTTTATATATTTCTGAAAAATTCAAACTTATTTTCGTCTTCCGTTGACTATTCAGTTTTTTGATCAGCTTATTGATAAAATTAAAGTTTATTCCATTTCTGTTTCAAATCTTACTTAAATTTCTAAAAAAAAAAGTTAGGCTTCCTGTACAGCAGTGAGTCAGCCAGTGATCTGGAGGATTTGGTTGGCATCAGTATTTTGGCGAAGGTGGGTTGCGTGTTGGGTTAGGAATTTATTATCGATATATCAATTACAGATTAAAGTTGAAATTATTGGAAAGATAGAAAGATAACATACGAAAATACAAACAAAACAAAAAAACCAAAGCCAAGATATTTACCAAATGTTGACTAGTGTGGGCAAAATTAGGCTGGGACCTTCTTTTTGCTTATCAAGCCAATGGCCTTCCCGGCCCCATCCTAGATCTGCCACTGAAAACAATACTTTTGACTATTTTTCTGTTTGCGTTATATAGGTGGCATTCTCAGATGTAATCATTTCCAAAATAAACTAAAATTAAACTGTAAAATGTTTATGCCTAAAGGTTTTTTTTACAAAAATGTTTTATTATTCAACAGGAAGGAGAGAAAAATGATGAGCTTGAAAAGTTGGTTGCTAACTTTTATCGGAAAAGGAAAAGTAATATAAAACATAAATTTTATTGAAATCAGTATCAATCATTTATTAGCTGCTCAAAATGCTGCCAACAGCTCGTTGCAACTTCACAGAGACGTTGAACGTGGACAAGTTGCTGCCTATGGATAGGTCTTATTTCAAATATAATGCTAGCATGCATATGCCGCCATGCCTCCAAAACGTAAAAAGATACGTCTTTGAATCTCCGATCCAAGTCTCTCTCCAACAGGTTAGCCTTTTTTATGCAGACATGCGCAAGAAATTCAATCACCAGTTGATAATGTGGGGTGTTGCCAATCTGTAATGTCTCAGAAATTTATGATTGCAGAACACTAAAAAAGTAAATGCCAGTTATAACATAATTTCAATATCTGGTGATGTTAGTATTGCAATTTTATTTTATTAACCCTCCACGAATTTTTTTAAAAATCAGAAAGGAAAACATTTTTCTCGATTTCAATTTAAAGAAAACTGATCTTCATCTACTCTTCTTGGTTTAATTAATAACTGCTAAAAATGTTGAGACTAGTTTGCTTTGATCAGGCTGTTTTCCGCTGGTATTTCTTTATTATTTCCGTTTTAAACTTTACTGGAAGCAACAGCAGTTATAACATCTATTGTAGCTGATGCAGGCAGCGTCATTTTAGGTGATCGGCCCAAGTTGAAGTATAAATAAGACGAATAAACAGTATCAGGTCAACATTGAGTTTGAGTGCTTTAGCTCAATTCTTATGTGTAATTCATCGTGTGATTTAATGTTTTATTAGGAAATTATTTTCTAATTCAGAGATTCGTTTTATATTGATGAATTTAAAAACATTTTTTTTAAAATTAAATAAGCTGTTGTTTTTAAATGTTATGTAAATTTTATTGATTAATTTGAGAATTGCACTGGACAGTAATGAACTAGATTACATGCAATGTAACACATGCACAAATATTCGCGCCCACACTGAGTTATGATGAAATAAAATTTAATGAATTTTAACATTTAAAAATTTAGATGCTAAAAGATCTGTTCCATAACACTGCATCACTTAACCTGACCATTGTTTGAATGTATTTTTATGAATTTTATTCAGATAAAAAAGTTTAAAATGCCAAAAACTTATGCTGTGTCAAACGCAACAATGAACAACACTCAATCTGAAATATCACTGATTGAAACTAATGTCCAATTTATCGGGAACGATAAAAACAACTGACTGGTTGAAATACTGTTATCATTTTGAAAGAATCTTCATATTTGCTTGTTTTAATCAACTCAAAAATTGACTGCCTAATAAAAATTTTAAAATCTTGGTTAACATTGAAATACAACAATGATAATTGTTATTTTATTGCTTTGTTAAAAAGTTATTGCAACAATGTATGGCAATGGTATCAGTTATCTATTCTTAAAAATTTAAAGTTACGCAATATCGTTAAATGGATTTGAAAAAATGTAAAACTTTCAAAAATCGTTGAAAATTGTAAAGATATTTAGAACATTTTAACAATTGTATAAGAATTTTTTCCGATGACCATTTGGTTTGATTTAGCTCTAACTGTTATGAAACTATCCTCTTCCAAGTGAACGAGACCAAACACTTTTGACGGGTAGGTGGGATTCTGAAAAAAGGGTGATAAGTTTTCCTGTTCAATTTAAAAAAATGATATATCATTGTATACAAATATTGACTCAAATATCTTATGTAATGGAAACAGTTCAGTGAACTCTTTATGATGATACCTTGATGAGGATATTTCTGAGAATGTATCAGGTGATTTATGGTGAGCGACCCAAGTTCCGTAACTCTTTATGATGATACCTTGATGAGGATATTTCTGAGAATGTATCAGGTGATTTATGGTGAGCGACCCAAGTTCCGTAACTTCATCATCAATCAAACTTTCAAGAAGGAAGAACTCCAGGTTATTGAATATAAAATAATATTCTTTTCTTTGATCTTAACGATTACAAAATATTTTTAAATTCATACTTGAAAATGATAAAATTAATTGAAATATGGCGGCATATATGAACACCTGTGCTGTTAAATTGAAAGCAAGTATCCCGAAAGATATGTGAACCACGTGAATCACGTGTCCAGCCCCCAACGGTTTAGTAATTTTCCGTGCCGATTGGACTTGAATCTGAACGTTTGATGAAATGAAATTATGTATCGATGTGACGATCAAAAATTTTTACTTTTCTCAATTAAACATGGACAGGAGGTGATTTAGACAACATTGACGGAGGAGACACTACTTTGAAAAATGTTGAAATAAATTTTTAAATTTGATGAGGAAGGCCAAGAAACCAATCATAAGTTAACTAGTGTGGCTTAAATTAGGATAGCGAACCGACAATAACACCACAAACATTAATTTAGAGGACAAAATTACTTATGTCCATCGTTAACTGAGTTCATCTTCTCGTGGTATTCATTATTACGACATTCGTTATTTCGAACAGCATCATAAGCACGAGAGTTCACTTAACATATCATGTAAGTTATGTGAAGCATCCATCCGACGCATATCGCAGTGCAAATGATGATCCCTTTGATGATCCAGCATGAACTCCTCTCATTCTTTTTGTTCCTGCCACGTGGCAGGGCTGCAGTGTGTTGACCTTCGGGAGGGGGGCTGTCTTCGACAGAGCAAGATTTCAAAATATGTTTAACATTTACTACATACTTTTACGATTTATTATCAAATCAATCATTTTGAAAAAGATAGGTCTAACACTCTTTTATTGTTAAAACTGGTTAGTTAAACTGTTAACAGTGGGTCGGGTGTTGAAGTTATTCACAGAGATATTGTTAAAGCATTTTATTGGGTTTCATATAATTTGTTAATTAGTGTGTTGTTAAGAAGCGTTTGGTTGAATTGGTTATAGGTTGTGTTGTAGAATGTCTGTCATGAAGTTTGAGGTTAGCAGTGGGGTGCTTCAAGGAGATGTTTATGGTTCGATTATATTTACGATATACAAATAAGTTTATGTTACTTGTTAATGATGTGTTTAGTATCAGAGAGAATGCTCGTGTTAAGTTGTTTTTATACTCAGATGATTCAAAATTCATTAATTAGATGATGCAAAATTTTTTAACTGAAAAGTTGATAGAAAGCTTAAAGAACTTCTATGTCCTACATTGGCAGCAGCGTGGACAGAAAATCCTTGCCTGAAGAGAAGACCTATGGGGACTTTCAAACCAGAGGATATCGCTGTATATAATAAGTGGGTTCCCTGATGAAATGTTGCATTGATGAAGTGTCTCGTATGATAAGGTGTCTGGTCAGACATTCAACAACTACACCAGAAAAGTTTCTTCACCAAGTGATTTTTTGAAATATAGAATAACTTTTAGGCAGATATTGTTAAAGATGATGATATTCTGTCAAATTTTAAGACTGAACTTGCCAAATGGCCAATACAAAACGCTCTGATTGTTGAACTGTACTAGTATAATTTCACTTCGTATGTTAAATCTCTTAAAACATTCTGCCTTTTAGATGTTAGTTTTCATAATGTTTACACTTTCCAAAATAAAATAAATAATTTTTAATTCAAATGAAGTATTGTAAAAAACCTTTCAAAGTTGAGTAGATCGATAAAGAGTTTTGTGTAACATCGACTTCGGCATTTACTGAAAAATGTAATTGAAAAGATGTTTTTTGAATGAAATTTAAAAAAATTAAAACTTTTTAAAACTCTTAAAGCCAAAAAAATATCATGTTATATTGACAACACTTTTAAACTGATCTATTTTTTTGTGTTGAGTCGAGGGTTCTAAGAATTGCTGCTCTTAATTAAAAGCTGGGATCCTAGATGTGAAACTGGTTAATTAATAATTGATATGATTTAAAAAGTTAACAAAATTATTCAACTACCAATGTTCACAACCGATTTTTCACTATACACCAGTGACTGGCTTATCTTGTGTTGACGTTTCGGTACGAAACATTTTTTTAAATAATTTTTTAATGGATGTCATAAAACTGTTTAGACATTTTGAAATGTCAAATCGGCATTGAATGATAAATCTAATTTGCTAAAATACTCCAAATCAACCATGATTTTGAGACTTCATTCGAATTTTATGTAAGTGGACAGGTTTTAAATATAGCAAAATTCTTAAAAAAAATTTTCCATCGTATTTTTTCATTCAATATAGAAAAATCTTTTGAGCTTTGAAACAAGACAACTTCATAATTGAACGAATCGTTGCAAACACACGTGCACAAACACAGCAATAGAACACACTACAGGCACGCACTATTCACACACGTAGAACATTAAACACTATAAAAGTGATGAGCAGATAGGAACCTATCCTCTCACAAGCAATATACATCCACCAAAAAAAAAGAATTATCCATAATTATTGAAACGTTGTTAGTTATAGGCAGATAGGTTAAAGAGCATGTGCATATGTTTAGAATATGTTATCGTTTAGTCATACTTATTCATTCGTTAGCTCAACATTTGTACTTATACTATAACATTTTTTGGCAAAACAAGCAGACACATTCTATAACAATTTTTCACTTTGACTTAAAAAATTGAATGATCTTAAGTGGAAATGTTTAAAAAGTTTTTAGTCCTGTTGCTGTGTTTCAACCGGTTCAGTTTGGTCAAACTTGAGACAACAAGTGGCCGATTCGCACGATGCCGCGGTCAATCTAACGAGGTTCTCTGTTGTGCCGATAAACCAGATTTGATAGCAACAAATGTTGAGAGTGTCACCAAATGTTCTGCTCATTGTGCTGGATTTGATGGCAATCAGTTGGAGCTGATTAGGACATCATCATCAGCATCATCTCCTCCATTCAACTCTATGTTGTATCCAAACATCACATACCACAGAATCAATTCAGAGCTCTATTCATGTGAGATGCACGATTTGCACTTCAACTTATCCATCCTGCCTCCGTTCTTCACTCCAGCAAACGCTTGTGATGCTTTCAATTATTTCAGCACATCTGCACTCTGCTACTTGTACGCTCCACGAACTTCCTACAACGCCAGCGCCAGTAATGCTACTCAGTGCTCTTTCTACCAGGTTACGTATGTTGTTTAAATCTTATCTTAATATCTCAATTATTTTTCAGAGGTACATACAACCGACACAGCGCGTATAATTTTTATTATTCTTTAAAAAACTCAGACTCTGACAAACGCAGAAACTGTTACAACATGCAAGGCAGTTGTATGAAATGATAAAGAGAAATAAATAACTGAGAAAAAAATGTTTAAGCATAAAAATTTTGGACAAAAATAATTTAATGATTAAAAAAAAAAGATAAATAAAATAATTTATTAATAGACTAGTTTATGACTTTGTAAGTTAGTTAAGTGATCGATTGGAAAAAGGAAAACAAAATTGAGTAAATGATATGATTTTATTGAGTGCTAATATATTTAAGATGTCTCTATTTAAGATGTCTTTTGATGAAGGTCTTATGCTGGTATGTTGCATGTCACGGAAGGATTTCTTTGCGTTCGTACCCAGGCTCTGCAACAGCGGAATCAAACGCCTCAGTCATTAGTTACGATCCATTGCGCTCAAAATGATGTTACTGTTCAACATTTCAATAAAACTTATCTAGAATAGTTTAAAACCTAATCATAACGTAAACTTTTTTCTTATTTTATTTATTTCAATTTTTACATACAAAAATAAAAATAAGTAAGGTGAAATTTTTAAAAGTTTCAAACTAAGTAATTGCTGATACCGCGATTAACTCTGTTATGTGTCGCGATAAACTTTCAAGCAAACAATGCATTGTTTTCGATGGTTATTCTATTATATAATTTTATTACGATTAACTAAAAATTTAAATGACACACATGCCCAAATTTTCTACTCCATAAAAATAATTCATTCTCACGTTTTCTTACGAAATATTTTGTGGAACATGTTTTGATGGACATCTATTTTATTATTTTAAAATTATTTAATCATTTCTAGACTGTGAGAAAGTTTTAAACTTTTTTTTCCAGAAAATGAAGAACGCTCGTCCGATGTGTCAGTTGAAGGGTGGGTTTTCCTATTTTTTCAAAATTGTTAATTATAAATAAATTTTAATCCAGATTATAATTAGCTTAAACCATAAAATACAAAATTTTATAAAATAAATTAGGATTAACTTAATACATTATATGTAAGGACAATGTGCTTCGTAGGTCAGTTTAAATTTGATTTGAAGCCAGTGACGTAGCGAGAAGGGGAATTGGCAAACATAGGCAGTTGTCCGGCACGCCATGTTAATCTTAACTTTTTTAAAAAATCAAATTCAAAACATAAAATTTTCTCATTGTTACTACTACTTCACCACTTCAATAAGACTCGATCGATAATAATCCTCATGTAGGATTATTATTGATTCAAGACGATTCAAACCAGACACAAACATTGCTTTTTCGGCTTTGCCTAACAAAGAATGTTGCTGTAAACGTGGATCTAAATTCTTTTGTTTCCTTAATTACAACAAATTTTCCACTAAGAAAAAACTGCATTGTCGATTTTCCGCTGCACAAAGAACTAATTTATAATTCATAACCTCTTTCAGTATATTCTTCTTCCGTTGTAAATTTAAATCGTTGACTGATACACTCATTTTTTTTTAAATATTTTCAAAACATTTTTCAAAAATTCGTTTGTAACAAAAAACAATTTTAACTAAATGATAATAAGTGGTCGTTATTATCTTTTTATTAAATTTTTTCATCAAGAAATATCAAACTACTTGGTCATAAATGAGTGTCTCAAAGTGATGTCATGAGAATTATGTACATGCAAAACAATTTTATGAAATGTATGTGATTGAGATAATCAAAAAAATTGTATTGCGTATGAAAAATTATTAATTCATTATCAATATTAACAAACATAAATTGTCATTTAGTAATTGAGGATAAACAGAAACATCACAATCTTTTCTTCATAATTAGCGTCAGTTGCAGATTGCGACGACATTGAAGGACCAGTCAGGGAAGAGGACAGTGGCATATATTGGGTGAACATCAACAACTTCACCTACCCTGTCTACTGTCGGTTTGCTAATGATGGACAGCGTTACCTGGTTTCGTTGAGTTCTGATATTTTATCAAACTGATTTATAACAATTTGTGAACATCTATTTTTTCAATTTACAATAAACTGCAGAAATTGTAGGTTCAATTTAAAATATCAGCATCACAAGTTAGTTTTTTAACAGGTTATTATTAAGTACATGTTAACGTTATAAATAAATAAACTTATACAATTAGTTAGAAAACTTGATTTGTAACATTTTATTATCTAAAATAAAGTCAACCAAAATTAACAAACGTAGTTTGAAAATAAGTAACAAACATTTGAGAAATATTTGGCATAAATAAATGAAATTAGTGGGAACAAAGAACAAAAGAGGCAATGAGAACAAGATGAAACACTAAAATATTAGTTTAAACTTTAGACGCATGAAAATGCAACAATTGATTTACAAACAACGGCAAATCAACAAAGGTGTTTCAAAGACGGTTGGACGGCAGCGTCGATTTCTTCAGAACTTGGAACGAATATTCTGATGGATTTGGAAACTTGAACGGAGAATTTTGGCTTGGTTTAACAAAATATTTTATTTGAAAACTGATTATTTGTTTATATATTTATTCATTTACTTATTTATACTCAGTGAGTCGGACTCAGAGTTGGAATTTTTTTTGAGAGACCAAAGTCGAAATTTTTTTATCTAATTCCGGAAAACGTTATGAATTTTACAAAATTTTTAATTTTTATTCTGAAAATTTGTTTAATATCTTGTTCTTTAGAAGACAAATATGTTTAGCCATAAAATTCATTTTTAATACTCAAAGAAAAGCTAAAAATGTTAATAAAATCACGTAATTTTGTTTCGGTATGTTTTAAATTAAAACATAACAAAAAAGTAATTTTACTAAGAAAAACAATTATGTTGACTGGTTTGAAGTGTTTTTTAAAATATTTTCTATTTAGTAATGATAATAAAGCACGATGCAAAAATGGGAAATTTTTTCTGAGAGTCAAAACCAGAGTTGGAATCGGGAGTCAGAATTTTATGAGGGGCCGGAGTCGGATAATTTTCAATCGACTCCAACGCTCCGTATACACCTGTGCTTTAAAGTATTTAACGTAAGTTGTGTTTTTTCTTATAAATATTATTTCTAAACAACGAACAGGCAATCGTCTGATAAATGAAATAACAACACAACGTTCGTACAAGATGAAAGCTGAGGCAGTGGCGTTTGACGGCTCAACATTTCATGTCTTCCACACGCAGTTCTATTTGGACTCTCAAGTCAACAACTACACAATAAGATTTGATGTGTGCTACGGAAATATTTGTAAGTTTACACAACTTTTGAAGTATTTACAATTGATAATAAGTCCCAATTTGTTTATAATGTTTAAAACAATTTTGAGTAGCAAGAAAATTTATTTCTTATTACATAATATGCCACATATATGTTAGACCGTAAAATAAAGTATTGCGATGAACTTTTCGAATTATAGCGAAGCGATTCAATTCATCCGCTTATTAATAAAACTTTCATCTCACTTTTTATGAAATTGCGTCGACAGAATCAATGGATAAATTTTAAAAAGGTAATGAGCGTCAATCAAATAAGTAAAATTTGAATTTGGTCAGACAAATGAATCTAGTTAACATGATGTTTAGGAAATGTCAGTAAACCATATTAAAAGAAAACATCATTTAAACAAAAAAGCAAAAGCCTATTGTTGAGCTGACTCCGAGAGATAAACATTGACTACTCTCATTTTCAACTGAATTTTTTTTAAAATTTAGAGTAATAATTAAACTTATGAATATAAAATAATTTTTTTTTTCATTAAATAATTTTATTTGCTATAAACATGCGTTAACCTGCCATGCTGTTCATTAAATTTTTATTTGATGCCATATGATTTTGACAATCAAGAAAGATCTTTTTAAATCTTTTACAATTTTGGTTTATGAAGGGCTAATAAATTCAAAAAATTATAAAAAAAATTTAATCGTTTCAAAATCACAATGTTGCAGTGGGATAACAATTTTCCATCTCCAACATCCAATCTAAATGTATCCAACACCAGATTCATATTAGTTGAATGTAGAATAGAAAAACGTCTATCATAAAAAAAGTCAATAATTATTAGAGTCAGTGGCTAAACCAAATACTCACCGTTACAATTAACAGATTTATCTTGAATAAAATTCATAAAATAAAAAAAAAATTAACAGGTTGTAAATTAAATAAATTTCTTAAAACGTATGTACTCCATTTTGCTTTACAAACTTATTTGCAGTTTTTGTCCATCAAATGTTTCGAAGTTTTGCAATGTTTCATTTGATCGTCTGCACGTACACTTCAGATGGAAATTGGTACTGCGAGTCTTTATTTTAGCTTCTGTAATGATTTGTTTGATGTCTTGCATGATCATTGCTGCCTAGGTTAGACCACGACTTGCCATTATTTGTATCAATTAGCTTTCAAGTGATCAAAAACAACAAATTGCCATTATCATAGAAATCAAAAATCTTGGGTGACTCAAATATATGCAAATAAATGCAAAATTGCAATTAAGTTAAGTCTTAGATCAAACATTCGGTTGCTATCTTTAAAAATTACTGTTTTTCAAAGAATAAAAAGTGATATTGGATATTTGTTGAAATTTAAAAAATGAGGAAAGTAAATAATAATACTTCAGCAACAGGTGTGGCACCAAAGAATTATCCATTTTCAACGTGGGATCGAGATAACGACATCTACGCTGGAAATTGTGCTCAGTCCTTCTTGGGAGCTTGGTGGTACACTTCCTGCCACGGATGCAACTTTAATGGATTTTATTATCCTGGAGGCAACCACAGTCAACATTATGCATCTGGAGTGGACTGGTCACCGTTCAAGGGACAGTACGAGTCCATGAAAGCAACGTGGATGATGATAAGTAGGATGTGACCTAATGATTAATATTAATTTATTTTGTGACGTTTTTCAATTATCATAATATATCATTCCAAACCTTTTTACAACTTTTTGGAATTTATGATTTTATAATCATTTTGGCAACAATTTTACGAACATTTTTGGAATTTTCAAACAGTTTAATTATGAAATAAAGAAGCCTTGAAAATTATAAATTTTCTAGTACTTTGTCAACATTACATATAGTTAGCTAACAGCTAAACATAAAAAAAAACTAAAGGGAAAGATTAAAAGTATGTATGTATGTGTAGGTGTGTTGTATGTGTTTGTGTGTATTTGTGTATGTAAATATCATCATAATCATAGTCCTAATTATTTTAATTGTAATATCATCATCATCTTTGAAGCTAATCACATTATATCAAAATGATTGTAAATCAAAACAATGGATTAACTGGTTGGCTAACCGATGTATTGAACTGATAATAAAAATTAATTGTTCAAAATTGTAACTAAATTTAACGACAAAGTTCAATTCAACAGCGACCCATAATATGGTCATCTACCAAGATGGTAACCATCATCATCACCTTTTTATTTTATTACTCATAGTTGTAATGAAGTAAACTATCGAGAAATAATTGCTTTGTTTGGCACCTCAATTAAATAGTTAGATTTAATAATTGCTTTGTTTGGCACTTCAATTAAATAGTTAGATTGAATGCGCCAGTCACTTTGTTGCACATAGATCCTCGACAAAAATGCTCGCATACAAAAAAATATAAAGGGTTGACAAAGGGTGATTCAAACGTTAACTTACCACTTAATTATCTTTGTTGGAAAAATTTAAGGATAGGTATAATGGGAGGATCGAACTGCATTTGCAAATCAATTCTTATTTGTTGCATTGCAGCTGAAACCCCAGAGAAAAATTTCGAATAAAAATTGTGTCTGAGAATTTTCAGCTCATTTTTAACTTTTCCCCAAAAAGTAATTTGTTGCTAAGCAGTTAAAAAAATATTTATTGAGTTAATTTTTCACTGAAATAATAACGAGGAAGATGCTCAAGAAAGCGAGTGCCATGTATTTGAGGCCTGATTTCCAAGCAGATAGACTAAAATAAAATAAAAAGCTAAACACATTGGAAGAGGCATCCGTCTTGGAAGACCCTGAACCTTTTCCTTCCAGTGAATGGTGCCCTACCTCACCGAGCAACTTTAACCTGCTTGCCAACAATTTTCACTAAAATGATCCAAAGACAGGCAGAAGACTTTGTTGAACCTGGATAGGCCGATGGCGAACAATTGTATCATAGCAGCTAAAATTTGTTTTGATGCTGTAGAGGAGGAAGAAGCGGAGGAAGGTGCAAGCGGAAGTCGCAAAGTTATAAAACTTGCTGATAAATTAGAACAAAGTTTACTTCAAACAATGGAAGAAATGAAACTCCAACAAAAACCCAGACCGAAAAAGATTAAACAACAAATAAACCAATTTGAAGAACCAATGCACAAGGCTAAAAGAAGACGGTGAGAAAAAAGGCAAATGGAACACCCCTAGTCTGAACAAGAGATGGTGCATCACCACCCACATCAGAGTATTTCCATTGGTGTTCAGCCAATCATGAAAAAACCCAAAATGTGTTCTTTGTGGAATAACAAGAATCCTGTCCGTAGGGTGTTGTGAGGTGGATGGCTGCACTTGCTTTTTGTTTTAAAAATTATTTATCTTTTTATTTTTTCTCTATTTTTAACTTGCACTAAAGTTTTTTTATTGATTGATTGATTGATTCATTCATTTATATGTCTTTTTTCCGTTAAGGCAATAAAATCAAAAGGGATTGCAATCTCATCAGCCAATAATTTCAACATGTCCTGTTTATTTACAACAACACGACAGTTCATGCTTAGTATTTTAGAATGATTTTCAACATCATGTGTTAAGCAAAACCTGATAAAAGTCTCAGGACAAAAATGGCGACAATTTTGTAGAGAAAATTTGAAAAGCAAGATTGGTCGTGAAAATGTATTTATATACAAATCATTTGTGCCAGCCATTGTGTATATTGATCATCGTCTAAGAAATATTTTCAGGCTCAATTCTCGTCAAAATCATTTTAATTATTTGTGATAGCTATTTTTTCAAAACGCTCACTAATTTCACTCATCAAAAGATTTGAGCCGGAATTTTTCGACTGAATCCCATCTTCAACAGGCTTCGTTGTTGGGGTTTTATCTGTAGCTAGTGGTTGAACGATTAAATGATTCAGATGACCACACTCGCATTTTGTTTTTAAATGATTTTTCTTTCTATTTATTTTATTCTATAATTAACTTGAACATAATTTATTTATTGATTCATCTTCTCTAATTATTTATTAATTTGATTTTATTGTAGTCGAAGCTCATATAATTTATTACATTATATATATATTATGGTAATAATAGAAATATATATTAATTCTATTATTACCATTATTATTATTATTTACAGTAGTTTAATTAGTTAACAAATAAGTTTTGATCGTTCCTAGTTGTTGTGGTCGCGTGTGTTTAGTGATATATTTATATAAAAAAATTTTGTTAGGAATTGAGTCATAGTGCATGAAATCGAAGTTATGTTCGATCAATCATTCAATCAATTTGTCCACAGGGTTGGCGTGGCATGGCGCAAATATGGTTGAGGTACATTGCTTGCTGTTCTGATGTCTAGCCGAAAGGAATCGAGCAACGATAAAAATTAAGTTAATGAAAAATGTTTTCTGACAATATTTTTTCAACAATGCTGAAGAAAAGTATTGTTGAAGAACAATGCATCGATTCACATGACAACAAATAATTCCATTTGCTGGATGACTTCACACAATGAACACATTTGTCGCAGCAGCGTACAATAAAATACAATTTTTCGATTAAAATAAGACCAATCTATTACAATGAATAAAGAACAAATCATATCTTATTTTTTCTTTTGAATAATTTTTTCAATCGTCAATCATTTCATACCATTATCAATTGCATTAGCATTGCTATCAATGAAATTATATGGAAAAAATGAATATCAATGAAAAAATAATTTAAATATTACAATTGTAATTTATATCGAAATTACTTTTTAAGTAATTGGTAATTTGTAATTTCATCTTTTATGTAATTTGGTAATTTCAAAGTAATTTCAAATTACATTTTGACTAAAAAATATAGTTTATATGTGAGTGAACAGATATACTTACACAAATTATTATAATTGTAATTATTACTATTGAAAATTTTTTTTTCTTGAAATTCTAAAAAAAATTTTAAATTCCAAAATTTTATTTGATTAAAAATTTCATTTGCTACTTTGCAGTTTTATGGTCACATGACGTTTTTGACGCTTCTTTTTTTCTTACTTTCTTTCTTCCCTTCTTCCTTTCTTTCCTTCTTTCTTCAGTCGTTCATTAAACGATAGAACAAATTGTTGATCGAAAGAAAGTAAATTAATAAAAGAATATGAAAATGACATCAAAGAATATGCAAAATCAAAAGTAGTGGTGAATAGTGTCTTTCTTTCTTCAGTCATTCGTTGAATGAGTGATTAGATTGTTGATAGAAAGAAAGTAACTTAATAAATAAATATGAAAATGACATCAAAGAATATCAGCGCAATGAAAACTCAATGTTTAAATAACTTCAAAGAAAATTTTTTTTCTTCATTTATTAAAAACTGGTTTGATGTAATTTAATTTCATGTAATTTGAAATTAGTAATTTGTAATTAGTAATTTAACTTTTTTATTAAATGTAATTTGTAATTGGTATCGAAATAACAAAAGTTAGAATTTTTTGTAATTTGTGTCGAAATTCTTTGAAAAAGATACGAGAATTAGAGGAATTTTTATTCAATGTAAAATATCATTCATTTAAAAAACGAAATCCAAAATAATTTCCTCCATTAGCTAATCCACATAATTCATTAATTATAGCAAAAATATTTGACGGTAATAAAATGCAGCAGAAATTTCTCACTTAATAATTTGCAGCAAGTATTAGCAAAAATCTTTCTTTAATTAAATTATGAACGCTCTAGGAAATGGTATTGGTATGATGAGTTATAACATGCATCTGTGTAGTGTGTATGTATGTTAGTGAGAGATTGAAGCAGGAAGTGAATGCGTGGTGGTGAAGAAGAATGCAATTTTCTTTCCAAGGTGTTCATAAAATTTTGCTACTGATTTTTTTCCATGTGAAATTATTATTTTGAAAGACTAAAATTTGGAAAATGATCAGTCCTAAAATAATGTTAGCCTTGATGTGGCTCAAAATGTTTTATTTGGCTACACCTGAAAAAACAAGCAGCAGTCTATTCATAGGATGTCGCAACAGATACAATGAGGTTCTTTGTAGCACTGATGAACCAGATTTGATAGTAACAAATGTTGAGAGTGTCACCAAATGTTCTGCTCATTGTGCTGGATTTGATGGCAATCAGTTGGAACTGTGTAGGACATCATCATCAGCATCATCTCCTCCATTCAACTCCACGTTGTATCCAAACATCACATACCACAGAATCAATTCAGAGCTCTATTCATATAAGATGCACGATTTGCACTTCAACACATCCATCCTGCCTCCATTCTTCCCTCCAGCAAACGCTTGTGATGCTTTCAATTATTTCAGCACATCTGCACTCTGCTACTTGTACGCTCCACGAACTTCCTACAACGCCAGCGCCAGTAATGCTACTCAGTGCTCCTTCTATCAAGTTAACACATTATTTGTTTATTGATTCATAAATATCTAAATAACTCCGTACAGAAATTGATTTCAAAATATAAATAAATAAAAACGAAATAATTCATTAAGCACTATATTACTTAATTGCTTTTAACATTCAGAAAATTAAAAACTCGAGATCGATGTGCCAACTAAAAGGTATTTTTTGATTTTTTTCACAATTTACAGAGCAATTAAAGTTTTTTTTAACCATTTTTCAGTTTTACAATGTTGTTATCGTAGATGTTAATTAATCAGTTGAAATGAAACATAGGGGATTGCGTCAACTTGTGTTTAAAATAATTAGATTAGTTTTTTTTTCTCGCCGATCACACTTAGTAGATAGATGCTGATGATTGTATCTTTAGCAGAAACACTAAACAACAAAACGTAAGCTAAAACTGAATCAGTTAGTTATAAACAATCGCAATTTACTTAAATGTTAAAAGTTGCGGAAAATTTCACTTAACCTAGAATATGAGTTCCGTTTAACATCAATTTGACAGCGACCGATTTTTATTGAAGAGCAGTTTTTCATCGGAATTAGTGGCAGTTTAAAATATGACACAATTACGCTGGGACCAATGTTAGCGTTTTATATATACAGTGCTAAAAAATTAAATAGCTTCCAGGTAAATAATTTCGAGTCGGCATCTTAACAAAATGTATGATAATGGGCGTTGATCGAATATTCAATTTAAAAGATCGTTCATTTGTATTAATTCGCACAAAATAATGCTGTCCTAAACATTACATTTTCGTCCTGGAAAAAAAAAGTTCCAATTGAAGATTCTAAAAAGATCCAGGTAGACTAAAAATCTGTTCAGCTTTGAATTTTACCAAAAACATATTATGTCTAAAATAAATTTTTAAAATAAGCAAATGCAATCGTAAATAGATGACCATGGTCGTCGACTTGGGTGGGATGTAATATATTTTTGTCGTGAATCAAAAATGGTAATCCATAATTTTTAAAAATGAAATTAAATAAACATCTGTATTAATTCGCACAAAATAAAACAATAAACAAATTAAACTTCCTCCCAATGCGTCATAATCTTGCACCAGTTGGCGGCACTGCACTTGCTACAAAGTTAAAACGAGATACCATAGAGGTATTTCACTATCTAACTAACACGCCCAAGTTTACGGATTCTTCAGATATAATTTTTGACTACATTATATTATACATAATTATTCATCTTTAAGCCTGTTTGTTTATGATACTGTAAATTATTTCATATTTTTCACACACACACACAATTTATAACTAAATTATTGTTTTTTGAATTATTATTTAAATGATTTGATTTGTGTAAAATTTTTTTTATTTTTATATTTTAGTTACATATAATGAATGCATACTTATAGGCATGAATGAACAGGCTCCAAGGAACGCACTAAACGGAATACATAATTTATAACCTCTTATATAGTAGCGATTCTTTTGATCATCGTTAATAGAAATTTCTATAAAAATTTTGTAAATTACTGAGTCTCATTGTTCTAATTTTTTGAGAGTTTATTGATTTCAACGTTTCTTCCTTCTTTGTCTCTTTTAGAATAGGTACGTAACAATCTTGTCGATGATTCGTGTGCGCTTTGTTACGAAAATTAAAATGTTTTATTTGTTTCAAAATTGATACTTTGTCTAAACTTAATTTTTGTTACTCGTTATCATTACGATGACATTGCGCTAACTAATGTTGGCAAGTCCAAAATTTAGAGCGGCAAGAAACCTGTTACTCTGTTCCCAGCCAGCAGCATAACATAACAAAGTTTAAAGTGGTTCAGTAGACTAGCATCTGTGTAAGAACCACTACAAAATAAATGTCCTAGTTTCCTAGCTAAGCCTTTGTTCTTTCCTCCCATATGTATACCTTTACATTTGTCTATGTTTAATAGCATTTGCCAATCTTCAGACCATTTGTATCAGATCGTGTCTTAGTACTTCCGCATCTTCAACAAACCAACATGAACTCCGCAATAATTAAATTCGAGAACATTTTCGAAACTTTCTCTGGATAAAATTAGAAAAAGAAAGGGTGTTAAATGTTAAATATAATTTTTTAGATTATTCCGGATTAATTTTAATAAATCAACAAAGTTTATTTTTAACATCGAACAATTTCTCACTTTAAATTCACTTGAGTTATCTGTCACTGTTAGAATAAACTGCATAATATAGCAACACAATTTAAATTATAAATCTGCCTAAAATATTTACACAAAATTATTTCATCGCAGTGTAAAAATTAAATTGCAACTAATCAAATCACCAAACGTTTCAATGCATGAAAAACTCTATTTTATAATAGTATATATTCTATGCAAATAATTTCAGCAGGTTTAAAATCTTATATGTGCATTACGATTGAATTATAATTAGCACCAGCCGAAGATTGCGATGACATCGAAGGACCAGTCAGAGAAGAGGACAGTGGCATATATTGGGTGAACATCAACAACTTCACCTACCCTGTCTACTGTCGGTTCAATAATGATGGGAAAAAATATCTGGTAGGTTGGCTATATTCATTTAAATCAAAATGAATAATTTCATTTGAAACAATATTGCTTTATTGATTTTGTAATTTAGTCTCCAGAATTTTTTTTTAAACTTATTTACTGCCTAACACTCTTACATGACTTGAGCAACAACTATTAAACATTCAAATAAGATAACACAACTTTAACCTTGACGACTCACAAGGTGTTTCAAAGACGAATAGATGGCAGCGTAGATTTCTATAGGACGTGGGATGAATATCTCAATGGATTTGGAAATTTAAACGAAGAATTTTGGCTCGGTTTGAAACTTAATTTTTTTAAGGGTCATATAGGTTTGGTCGGCAAATTAGAAAAAGTTGTATGCTATAAGTGCTTGCCGTATAGACAAAGAACATGTGTTTGATCACGTAACGGTAGCATAATGCTTTGCAGTTTGTAAGAGCTGTATACTAAAAAACAAAATAGAGTGTCAGCATATTATAAATGCAGATATTGAAGTGAATAAAAAAATAACTTGGTAATCATTTGAACATGGTTTAGTTTCACCAGTTAACAATACGTCATTTTTCAAGACGTCTTGTTTTACAGCTTTAGTAAATATTTCATTAAAATACTCAGAAAGTACAAATGACACAAGGCGTTTGCGAATGATTGTTGAAATAATTGATTTAAAAAATTTTTTGGATTACCGATTAAATAATTTTTCATAATAAAATTTTCAATATGTAGGCAATCGTCTGGTACACGAATTAACCACAAAACGTTCTTATAAACTGAAAGTTGAAGCGGTGGCTTTTGATGGATCAACCTTCCATTCATTCAACTCTAATTTTAACTTAAGTTCCTTGGACAATAAATTTGCAATATGGTTCTCGGATTGCTATGGAAGCACATGTTAGTGTTCGTTGACGTTGAGGAAATGTTTGTTGGAAATATTAATAATAAATAACGCTTGAATTACGACTGATTTAGAAAATTGTCTTAGTAGTCCAAAATACGAAAGACGTATTTTTCTCTTTTTCCACATTCGAGATGATGTGCATAAATTTATTATCACTTTTTCTTCATAAAATTTGCATCAAATTCTTGTATAACTTTCTTGCTCATGACAAGAATAAGTATATAATTTATAGGTGGCAAGATAGTGTAATGATTAATGACGCGTGATCCTTCGTCATAATAAATCGTTTTGACTGCAAACAGGTTTCAGCAATCTTTCGCAAACACATTTTGTGCCATTTATACTTTCTGAGTCTTAGTGGAATATTTACAAAGATTTATATAAAGTTAAAAACAAAATAGACAGCTGCATTGCTCCGACGAATATTTCCTTCTCAACATGGGACAACGATAATGACTTGTCTGGTTCCAATTGTGCACTTGCTTATCGAGGAGCTTGGTGGTACACTGCCTGCCACGGATGCAACCTGAATGGCATCTATTATCCCGGAGGGAACCACAGTGGACGATATGCCTCTGGGGTGGATTGGTCGGCCTTTAGGGGCTATTATGAATCTATGAAGATGACCTGGATGATGATAAGTAGAATGTGATGATGTTTTTAAGCCAAAAATGATTTTAATTAGCCAAACTAGAAAATATAACAAATTTTTAAAATTTGGTAAACTGTAATTTTAGCTTATTTGTCTAAATATTTTCAGACAATATGTTGATGTATTTTTTATTTATTATATATCGTAATAATTTTTTTAATAATAAAAAAACCTATTTTATTTTAATAAAAAATTCAATAACATTGTGTGTTGTAATCATGGATATATCCATGCGTATAATGCGCTCATGACAAAGCAGACCGGCGATTCAATATCGCGAACATATAAGCTCTATAAGATAATATAAATAGAAACGATAAGGATAAGGACGAAATTAATATAGTTTTATTTAATGAAAAAGATAAATCAGATGCTACTGCGAACTACTTCACATGTGTTTTTGGTGGCAATAATGATAGTTGTTCAATATAAAATAGAGGAGATTGGTATTGAACCGGTTAGACTAAAGGTTTTTGACAGATTCGAATCAGCAGGATGAAATAAATTTTATAAAATTTTTTTATTAGAATGTCGAAAATCAAAGAGTGAACATTTATGTCTCTTGATCAGAAAATCATTATCATATGAGTGGGGTGTGAGAAAGCATTGAGCGCCCAATACACAAGAAAGGTGATTGGAGTGATGTTAAAATTTTTTAGATCTGGCACGAATTGTATTTGCTTTAAAATAATAAAAAAGAGTAATAAAGATGCATTATTACAACATTTAAACACGAATAAATTGTTAAATAGTAGACAATATGGATTCATTTAAGAGAAATCTCCATTCTCCATGTCTCCAGGTTATTAATAACAAGAGACAAACAGCAGAGGTCTGCCATAACCTACCTTGATACACAAAATATAAAAGCCATGTGAAGGTGAGTTATTAGGAAATCGTCAAATCGAAAAAAGGGATACTTCTGACTTATCTAACTGAGTAACTAAATGACTAATCAATCCTCGTCTGACGTTTTTTATATTCTAACCTAGTTTTATTTGTATCTGTCCGGTGATTTATAAAGTAAATTAAATTAAAATTATTTTGTTACTTATATTGTTAGACTTAGTTAGAGGATTTGTTAATTAACCGATCTAACATTTTTGACCATTAAATTTTAACAAAGACGATTTTTAAAATCAATATTTAATATCTAAATAAAATAAATAAAATAATTAATTTATTAATTCAGTTCAATGTCAATCAAATAAATAAATAAAAATAGTTAACTTCTGTTTTTGACTTTTTGAGTTTAAAATTTTTATTGTATTATTATAATTATTTAATTTAATATTTTAATATTAATCTTTATTAAAAATTAAATAAATAAATTAGTCAAATTTCATTAAATTATTATATTTTTCAAATTAAAAATTTATTTAAAAAAGAAGATGAATCTTGACAACATAGTTTTTGTTGTTCCGGTTGTTTTTATGTTACATTTTTTCTTTTTGAAACAATCAAATAGTTATGTTTTGAGTACATTCTATGAAACATTAGAAGAGAAATCAAAGAATTCATTAGCAGATCCATTAAACAGGCCAAGGTACTTGAGGTCATTTAAATATGACGTCCAGAATGAGTTGTACTATGTGGCTGCAGTTGATCGAGTCTACACATTATCTTCTAACTTAACTGAACTCAATAGTTACAAACGTATGGACCTTTCCTCTCCATGCAATGGCAATGGCAACAATAGACCATGTATAAATAATTATATTCAGCTACTTCTGTTTAAAGAAAGTGACAATGATCTAATCTTTTGTGGCTCTGCTAATGAGGTTTTGTGATTACTTCTTATTAAAAAATTATTTTATGATATATTTTTCATGATAAATTATTATTACGACAAATTTTTTCAGCACATTTGATTTTTAACTACAAATAAGCAATGATTTTTATTTCCTAGACATGTTGCTGTAATTACATTACTGTATTGATAGTAAAGATTTTAAATAATATATTGAATATATAATACAATAAATGAAGGGCTTAAGCTGAGTTAATATAAATGTCCATATGAAAGTGTTATATTATATTAATAATTGACAGAAATAGATTTTAAAAAATCAAATCATATTTTCCAGGTTGTGATTTATTTTTTATCAGCCATGTATTTATCAAGTCAAATTTCAAATGAAATAACCACAGTTTCAACTCTGACAAACTCTGCTGGCAAGCTATTCCAGATTAAACTATAGCTAAACTGAATGATGACTAATTATTATTCATTGTTCATTGTTCTGGTTGTATAGGTGTTTTTGTTTCCACTGAATTATGTTTTCATATTTCAGTCAACTTTTTAGAAATTAATTCTTTCTATATAGTACTGATGATGATTTATCAGGATGGTTGATACATTATATAAAAAAAAGTTAAATAATTTTTCAACAATTTTTTTGGTATTTTTATATTTAAATTCATCCATTAAAAAGTAGTTATTTGAATGACCACTATTTAGATGATAAAACAGTACCATCACAGGAGATGATCATTAATTTAAGCATTTAGCTTGTTACTTTCAAACAGGATTCAGTTTTGTAATTACAGGAAAATAATTAATGTTGCTGATGGTGAAGATGATTGCCTCTTATTATGTGTTGGTGCTAATTGTCTGTTGGTTTATTATTGTATCTAAGATTTTTGTCTGGAATATGTTTAAATGATGTGTTATCATTCTCAGGCCATTGCAGTTGTATAATGATGAATATGATGATGGGAGTAATGATAATATAAGCTGTGATTGAGATGAAAATGCCTAATTTTTGGTAAATTGGTTATCAAATGATTATAGAAGCAGGATAATTTTTTTAATTCATTTAATGTGATGGTGACATGACATTATTGTTAACTTGCTAAATTGAGAAGTTACATATTTGTTGATAGCACATAAAGAGAGTTGAAAATATGGGTTTTTATTAGTCAGGCTTTAAATAAATATTTGGAAGGTGTTTTATCTGTCATTTTATCTGTATTTGATTTGAAGTATTTTTTTATCTTTCTAAATTACAATTTTATTGAATTTTATTTGATATCTTCCATGCATGTCAGGGTTCTTGCGAGAAATTGGAAGGCGGAAGGATTGAGAAAAACGTTGTTTCCACTAGTAACACATCCATAAGTGTTGGGTTGGTCCATGACAACAAGCTACTCATAGGCACATCCACATATGAGAGTGATGCTAACAAACCTGTGAGTTGCTCATATTAGGTCACTTACTGTTAATGTCAGATGAATGTGCCTGGTTTGGTTTGAATGCCCTGCAGTTTAGACATATTCTTATTGAATTTATGTTGTTTTTTAATCGTTTAAAACTATGTTTAAAGTTTATTACTGTTTTTAAAAAGGTAAAATGTAATTATTTTTTTGGAATGCTATGCGTTTAACATTTAAAAACTTTCTGTATTTAAAACTTGAATTATCTTTTTCTGCTGCAATTGCAACTTTTAAAATTTTATTTCAACATTATAGAAGATATACTAAATGACAGACAGTGTTTTAACCTATTTATTATGTTATTTATTTTACTAGTTCATGTGATTTATCATTTATTAATCACAAATACAACTTAACCTGAAATTTGTATAATTTTTCCCTCTATGCCACAGTCTTTTAAGACAACATTACACTTTTTTTTAATTATTTTAATATTATTAATTTTTTATTATTTATTTTTTAGCTGCTCTACTTTTATTATTTTATTCTTATTATTATTTTCTTCACGTTTTTAAATTGCTTGCATCCAGTTTGCCATGATCGAATTGAACAAGGGCAATAATAAAAAATCATCAGCCTACTTCAAACTGTTGAACAAGCAGTCGACCAACGTAACATTCAAATCTGCGTTTCTCCATGATGGAGCTGCATATTTTCTCTCACAAAGAAATGTAGTTTGCTTGTTCTGTCATTTTTAATTTTGTCAACAGTAACAATACTGAGTCATTATATTAATGAGTGATGCATTAATCTAACAGCAAAGCAGCTACATAACACGTTTGTGTGCCAGTAATTACGTGTCAACATTCGTTGAAACAAAGATCTCATGTTCACACAACAATGTTCGCTATCCCATTTTGCAACAAGCCAAGTTGCCTCAGCAAGAAAACGTTAATGACAATGACAACCTGCAGAAAAGTTTATATGCTGTCTTCTACAGTCCTGCTACTGTTAGGTTTTGTTCTTCTGTGAAGTTTTTGTAATGACTTAGATGGAATTTCAAATTTTATCACCAATATATTTGAGTGCTTATTAAAAGTATACTTATGTGATTTCGTCCAAGCGTTCATTTGACGATTTACAATCAGAAAATTATAAAACTATTCAAAACAAATATCAACTCACTCTTAGAATTTCGTCAACGTCATATTTAGACACATTATGTATAGAAGATGCTTTTCAATCTTACTGGCAGATCAATTATTTTTTGCTTCCAAACAAATTAACTACTTAATTAAAACACTTAATTTGTGTCAGCTGAGATATGAATAAGAATTTCTAAGATTATCAACACATTTTTTAGTTATCTCAGTAATTGTAGTGTGGTATTCATTCAACATAACAATTTAATCATCTGGTGGATGATTAATTAAAGTTGTTGAGTTTATCTGATTTACATGAATACGATTTCTTCTCGATTTCTTCTCGTGAAAAATGTGCAAGTGTTAATAAAGCCCAAGTTAATTGATTAACCATGGTTCACTTTTCTGTTACTACTACTACACAGCATTGTTTCATAAATATTTTTATTCTACTTATGCTATTGAAAATTTCATTTTGTAAGTTGCTTACAAGTGTTCATTCCTACATTGTTTCTGAGTTTAGAGGTTGTCAGCGTTGTGTCTGTACAGTCTGAATGATATCAGGAACAGCATTGTTGAGGCGGTCAGAACATCAAGCACGCATAATGATAAGGTCTTCGTCAAGGAATCTGCCAAGGTGATTGATTAGCTAATCTGATTTTTCGTCTCATTACGAACAATTCATCCATTCTCCATTTCTTT